ATCTGTCCTTATGGGTTTCAGGTTCTTCAGCACCCTTGACCCCAAGAGTGGACATTAGGGATAGCAATTATTGTGAGATGGATGGTCTCCGTGGCTTAGGAATGGGCAAAACAACAACTTGCATACCAGCCGCCCTCTTGTTTGGTGGGATGTCTTTGTGAGCTCCAGGTAGGCTGCTTTTGGAGTTTGTCCTATGCTCCTCCAAGCTTCTTTGGGCTGTTGGGCGAGTGTGATGTGCTGAGTCTGGGAAATGGCCAATGCTTCTCTAAGGGAGAGATGTGGCTGCATATCTTGCAACAGGCAATAGTGGCCCCTTCTCAAGAAGCCCTCTTTATATCTGACAATCATAGAAACTACCAGCATTCATTTTTTAGGGAAACTTGTTCAGAGGTTGATGGGGACCCAGGAGTAAATGTCCTTGAATAAGTAAATTATCTGGACCATTTTCACTCTACATTCAGGGTTGGGTATTGCATAGGAGTTCCATTCGTTGATTATCTTCGTTGGGACCTGGATAAAAGAAATATGCACCTCTTGGTCCTGAGATCTCTCAGCAGTCCTTGATACCATTGACTATTGCATCCTCTTGGGTGTCAGGGTGGCAATTAATCCCATTCTGCTTTTGGGTAATTGCACCTTGATTAGAGAATGGATCGTGACCTTTCCTTGAAGTATACTTTAAGAAAATAAAACCGAGATATATTCTTGTTACGATATTTTCAGGATCAGACTCAATAAATAAGTTGAGAATTATAAATTCAAATAAATCACTATTTATTTACATAAGGCATTCTATATTCACTGAATATTCACAGATAGAAGCACAAAGTGGACGTATGCGGTTCCTTATATATACAATGGGTGGAGCTAGGTATGGGAGTGGTGAAATATGAATACATTAAGAAGTGAAGAATAAGTTAACCCCTGATACCCTGTTCATGTACTATTTACATAATGGAGAATAAGGCATTTACTTGTGGCAATTCTAATAAACACATTTTATTATAAAGAAGTAAAAACATCTTACTAGCTAATTAATTACATCTTGGCAGCGTTCCTGCCGGAACTCTCTTGGCCGGAGAACAAAGAAAGAATGTAGACATGCGCAGTAGTAACTGATAAGAACTTGGCAAGCTACGGTAAGTCTGAAAGTTCAAAAATAAGAGCTCATCTGGTAAATACAATAACGCAGTGACATTGGGTGGGTGGGAGGTTCTACTCCTTTTTGAGTGAACGTCAGTAGCAATGGGGAAGGAGAACTCATTGGTCAAATTATTAAGGTTCAGTCTAAACTCTGCTATTGATCAACATCTACATGAAATAGCTGGAGAAGTAATTTATTGTTTGGGTTGAAATACTGTAATGTAATGCACACTTCATAATGATAATGACGCACAAGGTTATACCATGTCTATCCCAGGCTGAGCCAGAGATACTGTGGAACTATTGACTCAATGCGTAGAAGTTGTCAAGTATGGATGAGACAAAACGAGGCAGACCCGCGATCCCCTTCCCGATTCCAAACATGGGGTGTGTGCAGAGACAAAAAAAAAGTGTACCGTGTTTCAGGCGGCGGATCTGGCCAGGAGGAAAGAGAAGATTCTGCTGAGAAGGAGGACAGGGGCGTGTGGTTCTGCAATGTGCAGAAAAACACTTTTAGGCATCAGCGCTACAATCTCCTCCTCGAATCCAAAGCACTTCCCAGTTCCCCGCTGCACATTGCAGGGGAACTGGCCGCCACCTGAAGCGCGACTCTTGAGGTTTGCATTTTGGAATCCGGGCAGTGATGGCTGGAAAGGAGGAATGTTTCCCTTTAGGGGCTCCCATTCAGCTCGGCTTGGCTCTTGGGCGCAGAGAGGGTTAGGCAGCGGCAGCAGTGGCTCCTCACATTGCTGGGGAGTGAAGTCAGCGCAGCCAGAGGGGTGACCAGCCGCAAATCGTGGCACCTGCCTTGTTCCCCAAAGCTGCTGGGCAGATTCCCCCCCCACTGACCGAAGAGGGAGGGTTGTTCCTCAGGCTGTGCCCCGACCCAGATCCTTGCCGCCTGGAATTGGCCGAAAATGGCCGAAGGATGGGGGCTGGCAGGTAGGCGGAGCTACATTTGGCATATAAGACGCACCCAGATTTTCACCGCCTTTTTGGGGGTAAAAAGGTGCGTCTTATATACCAAAAAATACGTAGATTGAAGCTGAGTGTCTCCAAGTTGGAGCAACTATTTATGCAAATGAGTACCCTTCACAGCTTCAGTGACAGCCAACCTGAAGCAGGAAGCTCTGGCAACAGTGAATCATGAACTTATTACGGTAGCAACTCTTTGGATTACTGCATTACACTCAACATGGGGCTGCCTTTGAAGTCTACTTGGAAATTGCAATTGATTCAAACTAAAGCAACCAGCATATTGGCAAATGTAATTGCTGTGTTCTCACTCTCATAATGGTTGCCCAGCTTGGCAACAGGTTTTCAGTGATGTGATGTTTTCATCTATAAGATCCTACATAGTTTGAAACTTAAGAGACTCAACTCATAGAAGCAATCCATCTGAGGTATCTAGTCCAGTGCAGGGGTGAAATGTAAAATTTGTTACTACCGGTTCTGTGGGCGTGGCTTGGTGGTGGTGGGGTTAATGTGACTGGGTGGGCATGGCCAACTTTTTTTTTTTTAACTTTTCAAAGCAGAGGTTGCAAAAAATGCTTTGAAAAGCCTCTGCCGATCAGGCAACTCAGCTGGGATCGTCAGAGACTTTTCAAAGCATTTTTTTTAACCACCTTTTCGGCCAAGAGGTTGCAGAAAAAAATGCTTTGAAAAGCCTCTGACGATCCCAGCTGAGCCGCGCAATCATCAGAGGCTTTTTTTTTAACTTTTAAAAGCATTTTTTCGTCGGAAGAGGTTGTAGAAAAAATGCTTTTAAAAGTATATATATAAAAAAAGCCTCTGATGATTGTGTGGCTCAGCTGGGCATGGTGGGGGGAGGGGCGCAGGGATTTTTGCTACTGGTTCTCCGAACCACCTGCCGCCATCGCTACCGGATTGGGCAATCCGGTCCGAACCGGGAGCATTTCACGCCGGTCCAGTGTCTCTCAATCTTGGCCATGTTAAGATGTATGGACTTCAACTCCCAGAAGTGTGAATAGGGAATTCTGGGAGTTGGTCCACACATCTTAAAATGGATGAGAAACACTGATGTAGTGCATTAAAAAAATATTTCAATTGTCTCCTCATTTTTTGAAATGAAGAAGGCAATGTCTGCAGTTAGTAGTTTGCAATGTTGGTTTCTACTCTTTGCGACAGCTCTCCCTTTTCTGCTCAGGTTAGTACTCTCTTTATTGGCCTTTCCAAAATAGCTAAAAATGGAATTGTTCCAAAGGTATTTGGAGACTGAACAGGGATTTCCATCTGCACTTACCATTTGTGCTTTTTAATTATTCTTGCATTTTATATTACGTTTCATATTTCTTGTTACGATGTGTATTTTATATACATTTTTATAGACACAAAACAGCTGGGAATCCAAGATTATAGCGATAATAAATATAAAAATGAAATGTAAGTATATTTGCAACTGGTTACCCTGATCTGTATTTGCCATTTTGAAACAGCTTTTGCATCCTCCCCCCCCCCCAGTAAATTTAACCACCCTGATTATTAAAAACACTAAAATTTGCTGATCGCTGGGGGGCCTATTTGTACAGGTTTGCAGAATGAAAATTGGAAAACAGCTCGTAGGCATTTTGGGTGGATATTCTACCAATGAATAAACAAAGAAAAGCTTGTAAGGATGACAAATTGATCTGCATTAAACAAACTTGTTAATACTTGCTGGCATTTAAGAATTTCCGTCTATATTAGGGCAACAGATATAAATATTACAGAAGAAGCAACAACTCAAGTGCTGTGCTTTCTAATCTCAGTTTTCATCTCAAGGCGAATTACAGTCACTGGAGAGACTTGTGGGGACACAACACACAATTTCTCCCATTTGCCACGGCTACCATTTCAAACTGAATTCACGGCAAATTATTTATCTGTGTCTAAATAGCATTTTCTCCTTTCTTCCCCAAAACCAATTTCTGCAGTCTATGGTTAGTTCTTGACTTATGACCACAACTGAGCCCAAAATTTCTGCTGCTACGTGAGGCAGATGTGAAGTGAGTTTTGCCCCATTTTGCAACCTTTCCTGCCACAGTTGTTAAGTGAATACTGCAGTCCAGGGGTGAAATCCAGCAGGCCCTGACAGGTTCTGGAGAACCAGTAGCGGAAATTTTTTAGTAGTTCGGAGAACCGGCAAATACCACCTCTGGCTGGCCCCTGAGTGGGGTGGGAATGGAGATTTTGCACTAACCTTCCCCCAGGAGTGGGGAGGGAAAGGGGATTTTGCAGTATCCTTCCCCTGCCACACCCACCAAGCCACACCATGCCCACCAAGCTACGCCCACAGAACCAGTAGTAAAAAAAAAATGGATTTAATCACTGCTTCACTTGTTCCATTAGTAACACAGCTGTTAAGTGAATCTGGGTTCCCCATTGACTTTGCTTGTCAGAAGGTCACAAAAGTGGATCATATGACTCTGGGACTCTGCAACCCAGAGATGAAATCCAGCAGGTTCTGACAGGTTCTGGAGAACCGGTGGTGGAAATTTTGAGCAGTTCGGAGAACCGGCAAATACCAGAGTGGGGAGGGAATGGGGATTTTGCAGTATCCTTCCCCTGGAGCGGCATGGGAATGGAGATTTTGCAGTATCCTTCCCCTGCCACGCCCACCAAGCCACGCCCACCAAGCCACACCACGCCTACCAAGCCACGCCCACAGAACCAGTAGTAAAAAAAATTGTATTTCACCACTGCTGCAACCGTCATAAATAGGAACCAGTTGTCAAGTGTTTGAGTTTTGATCGCCTGACCATGGAGGTGCTGAAATGGTCATAAGTGTGAAAAATGTCACTTTTTCAGTGCCGTTATAACTTCAAATGGTCACTAAATGAATGATTGTAAGCTGAGGACGATCTGTATTCTTAGTTTTATCTTTACTCAAGATGTACCCAGATGGGATTTCTTATTGGCAGGGTAAGACTTCGTCCCCTCCTTAAAAGTTTTGCTTTTGCCCCCTTTTCTTCTTAGCATTTTCCCCATATCTGCAGGATGTGATTTTTTAAAGATCAATTGAATGTTGAAACTGGCTCTCTTTGCCTTAAAGTCTCTCAAGAAGAAAAGAGAAAAACCAGAGCAAATAGAAGTTGCTTATGGCAAAAACTGGAACATTTCCACTAAGGGCATTCCAAAGAATATGCCCGCCAGATTTTATTGCTCAGGTATTTTTGGTGCTCTGTTGCACATTGTGATGTCAAAGGAAACTTAAATCTCCCATCCTTGTCATCTGCTCCATACTGGTCATCTCCATAACTGGAAAACAGCTGTGAACATCTGGGGAAAAAGAGACCGCTGTTAAGTTCTTTTGCAACTTCTTGGAAACGTAGAGTATAGTAAAAGAAATATCCGTATATTATTGCCATATTTTAATACGTGATGAGGCTCTCTAGGGTTTTCCCCATAAAAGTCATGAATGATGTAGCATTTTCCATATAAATTTTGGACCAAGCCAGATGAGCCTTAAATATGTTGTTCAATGAGAGCATTGATTTCTCTCTTTTTGTCCTAAGTAGAGTTTTAATGAAAATTAGTTCCCCATTTCGTATCTTTTTAATCGAGATTGCAGTGCAGGAGAATAACCGTTTAACCCAGAGGAAGTAGGAATCACTTTTAACTTCCTGACAGCTTCCCCAATGACTTCCCTTGTAGGAAGCTAGAAGAGAGGTTGAAAAGGATGATCACACGATTGTGTTGGCTCAGCAACACTGAAGCAGCCACAACTTTTTCAAATTTCAATCTCACAGGAGTGTCAGGGTTCCAAGTAATACTCCCATAATAAATAGGACTCCGAGGCAGGCAGATTCCTCAAAGAACTGATTTATTGGAAATATATTGGCACAGACTGGTGAAAACCGACTCTGAATATTCCCGTGGTTTTCACCAAGTGAAAAGTAAAAGTTTTTCCCCTTCCTCAAACAGTCAGTCACATGATCTAATCATCGTATCACCTGGTTGGGTCACTCTGCCTCTCTCTGACCACCTGTGGGAATGTCCTTGGTTCCCAAGAGAAAGTATTTTGTTTTGGCTACAAACCCCCTCTATCTCTACTCCCCCCTCCTTGACTCTCAGCTCCCGGGTGGCAACGCTGAAGCTAGAAAATGGCCTCGCTCAGGCCAACTTCAGAGTTGACAATGAGTCAAGGGTCCCAGATTTTGGATGCATTCTGCAAGTTAACCAGTTTGAGGTACATTGATTCAAAAATTGTTGCCCAGTGATGTACCATGTTGCCTAATTAGATGTTACAAATAATCAAACAGATACAAGAGCAGTGAGTAGGTTTTTTGCTTTAATGGTAGGAAATGAGCCAGTAGGAAATCTTCTGAACCTAAAACATGCACCAACCCAAGAATGTGAGAAGGACAGAAAGTACAGATAGTGCTCAACTTAGTGACCATTTCAAAGTTACAATGTCAGTGAAAGAAATGACTTATGACTGTTTTTCACAGTTACAACAACTGTGTATTTATACTTTAAAAGAAAAAAAGTCTCTGCTGATCAGGCAACTCAGCTTGGATCGTCCGAGGCATTTAAAAGAAAAAAACTCTTTTTCTTTTAAATGTCTCTGACGATCCAAGCTGAGTTGCCTGATCTTCAGAGGCATTTAAAAGAAAAAAAGTCTCTGCCGATCAGGCAACTCAGCTGGGATGATCAGAGCCTTTTGAAAGCATTTTTTTACAACGTCTTCGCCGAAGAGGTTGTAGAAAAAATGGTTTTAAAAGTAAAAAAAAAAAAATTGGCCATGCCCACCCAGTCACATTAACCCTCCCCCACCAAGCCACGCCCACAGAACCGGTAGTAACAAATTTTAGATTTCACCACTGGGCAAAACTCACTTAAATTCTCACTTAGCAACCTACATTTTGGGCTCAATTATGGCCGTAAATTGAGGGCTACCTGTATGTGAAGTTCTAAACTGAGGAAAACATGCGAAAAGGTGAGCCAGACTTAATTTTTGTTCACAGACTTCTTCTTTCTTCTCCTTTCATTGAACTTGCTTAAACTATAGGCCAGTGTTTTTAAAACCTTGGCAACTTTTATAATGTGTGGACTTCAACTCCCAGCATTCCACAGTCAGCATGAGAGTTGAAGTCCACCCATCTTAAAGTTGCTCAGATTACAAAAACACTCCTATAGCCCCACACACCTCAAATACCAATCCATGGAGTACAGATAGTCCTCGACATACGACTACAACTGAGCCCCAAATTTCTGTTGCTAAGTGAAACCCTTGTTAAATGAATTTTGCCCCATTGTACGACCTTCCTCGCCACAGTTGTTAAGTGAACGATGGCAGATCTTAAGTTAGTCACACGGTTGTTAAGTGAATCTTGCTTCCCCATCAACTTTACTTGTCAGAAGGCCACAAAAGCGGATCGCGTGACCCAGGGACACTGCAACAGTCATAAATACGAGTCAGTTGCCAAGTGCCTGAATTTTGATCACCTGACCATGGGGAGGCTGCAATTGGTTGTAAGTGTGAAAAACAGTACCACTGTAACTTTGAACCAGGGGTGAAATCCAGCAGGTTCTAACAGGTTCTGGAGAACCTGTAGCGGAAATTTTGAGCAGTTTGGAGAACCGGCAAATACCACCTCTGGCTGGCCCCAAAGTGGGGTGGGAATGGAGATTTTGCAGTATCCTTCCCCTGGAGTGGGGTGGGAAAGGAGATGTTGAGGTATCCTACCCCTGCCATACCCACCAAGCCACACCACGCCCACCAAGCCACACCCACAGAACCGGTAGTAAAAAAATTTGGATTTCACCACTGCTTTGAACAGTCACTAAATGAGCTGTTGTAAGTGGAGAACTACCAGTATTTTATCTGCTGAAGATTTCTCTATAGCTGGAAAGTTGGCATCTCACCTCACCCCATTCCTAAGAGGTCTGTAAGGGGCGTGCATAAGCGCACCAGTGTGCCTACCATCCCTGTCCTAATATTCCTTTTTTACTTACTCTTTTCATGTATTTAAATTATGTTTATACTTTTACCTGTTATATTATATATGCTTGACAAAATAAAATAAAATAAATGAATGAATGAATAAAATGAATAAAATCTTCCTATATCAACAGCGCGATTTGGGTGAAGAAAAGCCACTGTCACTTGCATCGTCCATCATCTACGCCAAATTAACAATTGGTCTCACACAGCACAGACAGCACACATGGCTCACACAAACCCATGCTTAACATAACCATGGTTTACTCAAGCCAATGCTCTGTTTGGCATATTTAAGAAAACCCCAAACTAACCCCAAATGGAGCATCCACTATGACTGTAATCGAAGGCGTTGCTGTGTGACTACATAAATGTTTCCAAACGAATACCAATGCTTCCAATATATACATATCTACCTACATTTCAACCTAACTCCTGCGGTTGGGAAAATAAGATTTTTTTTCCTGGACAATCGGGGACCTCCTATCTCTTCTCTCTCTGTTTTCACAAGGGGGTATTTGCAGCTTGGAAGAGCTGCAAAAACCAAATCTGATAAATTCTCCCGCTTCCCTTTGGAAGCTGTTGAGGTGCCAAACGAAGACCCCTCCCCTCTCCTCTGCTCTTAAGATGGGTTTGGCACTTGACTTTGCAAACTTGGAGAAAGTATTTTACATTCCATGGAGTCCTTTATATTATTATTATATTATTATTCCTTTCCCCTTCCCCTTCCCCTTCCCCTTCCCCTTCCCCTCCCCTCCCTTTCCTTTCCCCTCCCCTCCCCTTTCCTTTTCCCTTCCCCTTCCCCTTCCCTTCCCCTTCCCCTCCCCTCCCTTCCTTTCCTTTCCTTTCCTATCCCCTTCCCTTCTCCCTTCCGCTCCCCTTCCCTTCCCTTCCCTTCCCTTCTTCTTCTTCTTCTTCTTCTTCTTCTTCTTCTTCTTCTTCTTCTCATTATCATCATTATCATCATCATCATCATCATCATCATTAATTAATTAATTAATTTTAATTTTACCTTGGGAGCCACCTGGCAACTCCAAGGTTCCCCCTTTCTGACATTAGTAAGGAAAGGGGGAGTAGAAGAGGGTGGGTCGAGCAAGATGGGGGGGGCGGGCGGGAGGAGAATGAATGTTCCTCTTTGCTGATGTGTCTGGATTTCTCCCCCCACCCACTTTCCCCCTTCCTCTCCTTTTTTTTCCCCCTCTTTCCCTCGCTTCCCACCTTCTAGCCTCAACTGGGTGTCTCCTTTCTCTCCCCCTGCTGCTCCTTCAGCGCCAGGGAGAGACCAGCCGCTGCAGAGGAGCTGGGGGGAAAAAAGAAGAAGAGAAGAAGAAGAAGAAAAGAAAACTTTGGGGGAAAAGTTTCGCTTGCAAACGCCGCTTCTCCTTCTGCGCTTGTTGCTGCTCGTTGCTTGCCCAGCGTTGCGCGCCTCTGCCTTTCAGCGAAGGTCCTTTTACAGGCAAGTCCTCCTATTTCCCAATGAATTTTTTAAGAACAAGAGTTCCAGTTTCAAAAGTTTGCTTAATTCTCTCTCTCTCTGTTTCTCACTCTTAAAAAAAAAAAAAAAAAAAAAAAAGACCCGGCAACACTCCTTTTCTTCTTTTTGGGCATTGCACATCTCTCTCTCTCTCTCTCTCTCTCCTTAGCCTTTCCCTTTCCCTTTCCCCTTCTCTTCCCCTCCACTTCCTTTCCTTTCCTTTCCCCTTCCCTCCCCCTCCCCTTTCCTTTTCCCTTCCCCTTCCCCTTCCCCTTCCCCTTCCCCTCCTCTCCCTTCCTTTCCTTTCCTTTCCTTTCCTTTCCTTTCCTTTCCTTTCCTTTCCTTTCCTTTCCTTTCCTATCCCCTTCCCTTCTCCCTTCCCCTCCCCTTCCCCTTTCCCTTTCTCTTTCCCTTCTCCCTTCCCTTCCCTTCCCCTCCCCTCCCCTTCCCTTCCCTTCTTTTCCTTTCCTTTCCTTTTCCCTCCCCTCCCCTCCCCTCCCCTTCCCTTTTCCCTTCCCCTTTCCTTTTCCCTTCTCCTTCCCTTCCTTTCCTTTCCTTTCCTCTCCCCTTCCCCTTCCCCTTCCCTTCTCCCTTCCCCTTCCCCTTCCCCTCCCCCTCCCCCTCCCCTCCCCCCCCCCCCTCTCCCTTTCCCTCCTCCCCCCTTCCCTTCCCTTCCCTTCCCTTCCCTTCCCTTCCTTTCCTTTCCTTTCCTTTCCTTTCCTTTCCTATCCCCTTCCCCTTCCCCTTCCCTTCTCCCTTCCCCTTCCCCTTCCCCTCCCCCTCCCCCTCTCCCTTTCCCCTCCCCTCCCCTCCCCTTCCCTTCCCTTCCCTTCCCTTCCTTTCCTTTCCTTTCCTTTCCTTTCCTTTCTTTTCCTTTCCTCAACCATTAAATCAATTTGCATTAAATCGAAGTAGGCTGGCAGGGCATAGCACTTTGTGAAATGTTCAGTATTGGCCAATCTGAAACTTTGAAGGGTTTGTGAGTTTCACCCCTGAACAAAGGCAGGTTTAACGATGGGGTAGAAGTAAGGATCAGGGCGAGAGGAAGGGTTTAATAAGAGAGATGGAGGTGCCTCGCTTGCCTGTGGGCTGGATTATTTTGCTTCTTTTTGTTAAACACGTTTGTCTTTCTTTGCGTTCATTCGGGAGACACCCATGGTATGTGACATGCGTGCACTGATCTTTGCTTCTTTCCCCCAGGGGATACCGCAGGATTTGCCTTTAATTTTCCAGTTGGAGAGGTTGCCTGCTTGGCTGAGCCCCTCGATCCTCTTCTGTTTTCTCCCCCTATCCCCATCAGCAAAGTACCGGTAGTCCTTGACTTACAACAGTTTGTTTAGTGACTGTTCAAAGGTTCAACGGCACTGAAAAAAGTGACCTCGGAAGGTTTTTCACGCTTACAACCATTTTGATCATGGTCACGTGATCAAAATTTGGATGCCTGGCAGCTGACTCATTTTTTTTAAATAAACATTTTATTTGTTTTTAAACATCTTAAACATAAAATACATCTTTTAAGAGCAAAGGTTTGGTCCGGTATTAGATAAGTACAATTGCCCACACTTCTTTAACCAATTTGATTCCAAATTTCATCCATTTACATCTTTAAAAAGAAAAAAGACATCAAATCACCAATTTTTTATCATACATTCTAACATCTTATTCTAAACACTTGGCATTCTAGTGTATCACCATAAATCTTAAATCACAAATAAACACAGCTCCTTCTTGTATACAATCTTTCATTACCAAATAAACACCATTCTAAATTTTTATCATTTTATCAATCAAAATTCCATATATATTCCTTAATCTTAAGACCCATTTCATCAAGTCTATATTTTAACCTCTATTGATTTACCTCTAATTTCCTTGATCTTGTCATGAAATACGCTTCTCATTATACATAAAATCACTTCAGAATCGGTTCACATTATCATTCATTCCATGTTTCCATCCATAATTTTATCTAGTTCTCAATCTACTTTATCAGCTGACTCATATTTATGATGGGTTGCAGTGTTCTGGGATCATGTGATCCCCTTTTGTGACCTTCGGGCCAGCAAAGTTGGGGTGGGGGAGGGGGGCGATCTAGATTCGCTTTACAACCGTCTGACTAACTGAACAACTGCAGGCATCCACTTAACAGTTGTGGCAAGAAAGGTCATAAAACTCACTAAAGAAATGTCTCACTTAGCAATGGAAATTTTGGGCTCAATTGCGGACATAAATCAAGGACTACCTGTAATCACAAAGGAGAGTGTCATTGAGCATATCCAGAGAGCCAGTTGTCTGTCATTGCGATTCTCAGGGCTTCAGGTTGAGCTGGAGCTGTCTCTGCACATCTTTTTTGAGCTTCAGGAATTCATCCCTGATGGATGTGTGCAGGAATGATGGAGTCAAGACCCAAAGGTGTTTTTTTCAAGAGGCAACTGGACTTTCTGGTTTTTTCTTTGAAGACATTTCGCTTCTCATCCAGGAAGCCTCTTCAGTTCTGAAGGAATGGTGGGGAATGGGAGGATTGATACTCCTTGCAGACAGCTGGTCATTCACATTCTTTTAGTGAATGGTTAAGGTCACCTGGAGGTTTATCTGTGTTATCAGGGCAGCGGTGAAATCCACTTACCTTCGCTACCGGTCCAGGAATGTGATTCGGCATGCACAGAGAATAAAAAACGGGACGTAATGATGTCCTGGCGGGTGGGTGGAGCCTCCCGTTGCTGGTGCTACCGGTTCGCGCGAGCCGAATAGATCCAGCTGGATTTCACCGGTGCATCAGGGTCACCTGAATGGTGCAAATGGGTGTGGAGCCTTCTTGGAACTGCAGAAAGGACTGTGTTGTAGACTGGAGATAGGTGATGTCGTATCTGTTGAGAGAGGGCTATTCAATTTTGACATAGATGCCAGAGCTCCTCTCTGTCCAAAATGTGGACTTCACTGTCTTCAAAACAGTCTTTTAAATGCAGATGGATTTTCCCGAATCTAGTCCTCATGAGTTTGTTCTCCTATGTGCCCCACCATCCAGTTGAAGGAGCTTCTTGGATGAGAAGCGAAACGTCTTCAAAGAAAAACCAAGAAAGTCCAGTTGCCTCTTGAAAAAAAGCACCTTGGGACAACCATGACCTGGATGACTGAGAATCTCCATAGCCATATAGAAATGAAGTCGAGAGTTCTTGTCAACTCCCTCTCCTTTAGATATCTGGCTAAGATTTGAGTCTTTACCAAGTCTTTTTCTCTTAGAGATATGGGTGGCTTTCTTGAGGGGACAATAGGAGTCTAAAAGGAAGTCCCACAGTCCGGCTGTGTCCGTGTGACACCCGGAAACACCCATTAGCCAATCATGTCTTAGCTACGTCTGTGGTTGGTGAGATTATTTGGCCTCAGTTCGTTGTACAGGTAGTCCTTGGCTTATGACCACAAGTGAGCTCCAAAATTTCTGTGGTTAAGCCAGATGGTTGTTAAGTGAATTTTGCCCCATTTTATGACCTTTCTACATGCCCCAGGTGTTAAGGGAATCCCTGCAGTTGTTAAATTAGTAACATGGTTGTTAAGTGAATCTGGCTTCCCCCTCAACTTTGCTTGTCAGAAGGTTGCAAAAGGGGGGGGGTTTCACATGACCCCAGGACATTGCGACTGTCATAAATATGAGTCAGTTCAGGGGTGGGCTGCTGGAGGTTCGCAGGGGTTAGCTAAGATTCTGTGCAGTTCAGAGAACCCCCAAATCTCACTCCTGGCTGGCCCCGCCCACCTCACCCTGCCCCTCCCCTCCCAGAAGTCCCCACGTGGCCTGTTTTGGATGCAAGTAAGTGCAGGGTGCATGTGGAGGCTTGGGCAGGGTGAAAAACGGGCCTACTGGAAGTTCTGGAGCCTGGGGAGGCCATTTTCATCCTCCCGGAGCCTAGAGGAAAGCCTCCGGAGCCCAGGGAGGGAAAAAAGTCTCCCCCCACCCGCCGTGGTGCATGCCCACCATGACTACGCCCACCCAGCAACCAGGCAGAGAACCCCTTGCTAAAATTTTTGAAGCCCACCCCCGCATCAGTTGTTAAGTGTCTGAATTTTGATGATGTGATCACAGAGAATGTTGCACCAGTCATGTGAAAAACGACCATAAGTCGCTTTTTTTCAGTGCTGTTATAACATCAAATGGTCGCTAAACGAATGGTTGTAAGTCGAGGACTACCCGTATGAATCTGACAAAGGAAGCTCATTGAATATACCAGGATTGAGAGTGTCCTGTGAACAGGGCCTGAGCGTAATTCTGCTTTTTCCAAGGCGGACTAGTAATTCTATGCGCTCAGTTCCAGCACATCTGGTTAGAGTCCCAGAGAGAGACTGCTGGTGCAGAATTACACTGAAATACAAACACGTGTGATCAGTGCACAAGCTGCTTTGACATTGTTCATGGAAGGATTTTTTGCTAAGTCATAATGTGATTTGTGTGGTTTTGGCTCAGTGGTTTGCAAACTCGGCCCTTGAGATTCGTACGTAGCAGCATCCATCTTGCCTTCTTTGAACCTCCCATGCTGAACTGCCATTCGTGATTTAGGACTTAGCCCAGCGGTGAAATGTAAAAATTTGTTACTACCGGTTCTCTGGGCGTGGCTTGGTGTGTGTGTGGTGGGGTTGTTAATGTGACTGGGTGGGCGTGGCCAACTTTTTTTTATTTTTACTTTTTTAAAGCATTTTTTACAACCTATTCAGCCGAATAGGTTGTTAAAAAAATGCTTTTAAAAGGTTAATAAAAGGCTCTGATGATCACAACTGTGGCGCACGATCGTCAGAGCCTTTTTTTTACCTTTTAAAAGCAGGAAGTAATGACACCCAGGCAGGTGGGCGGAGCCTCGCGCCGCCATCGCTACTGGTTCTTCGAACCATCTGCCACAATCGCTACCGGATCGCCTGATCTGGTCCGAACTGGGAGCATTTCACCCCTGACTTAGCCTATTCAAACAAACAATGGAAAAGGACCACTTAAAACAGCTCCCTCTTGATGTGGGAATCCGTATTAAAGAATCCACCATAGGTGCACACTCTCTCCCTGAATATTCCAGGGCAGGGAGGAGTCCATTATCTTTCTTGAGGATTGGTTCCACTCTTGAATTGCTATTGGTCAAGCATTTTTCCTGACATTTGTGAGAATTTGCCTTCGGGTGATTTGTTTATTTATTCTGTGCTAGGAGGAGGCAGTCTCTGCCTTTGCCTCAATGAAGATTATGGAAATTATGTCTTAGTTCCTAAGCACCAAAGGAACTGCATGGCTCTCAGTCAACTTTCTTCAAAGGATGGGTAGAATGCTAACAAGAAAGGGGGAAAGGTGTAGAGAAAAGATGCTAATGATCAATCATGTGCCATCAAGTCTATTCTTAAGAAATACACAGATAGACTTCCTTCAGAAAGATCTATCCTCAACCTGGGCCTTCAGGTCTTCCAATGGTCCACTCATCACCATTGTAACTAGATCCATCCACATAGCTACTGGCCATCCTGTTCTTTTTCTTTCCACCTTTCCCAGCATTCATTCATTCATTCATTCATTCATTCATTCATTCACTCAATCACTAACTCATTCACTCATGCATTCACTCATCCATTCATTCACTCACTCATTCATTCATTTGCTCATTCATTCATTCATTCATGTGCTCACTCATTCACTTGTTCTCTCATTCACTCACTCACTCACTCATTCATTCACTCATGCATTCATTCACTCACTCACTCACTCACTCATTCAGTCACTCATTCACTCATTCACTCATTCAATCATTCAGTCACTCATTCACTCATTCACTCATTCAATCATTCAGTCATTCAATCATTCATTTATTCATTCACTCATTCACTCATTCACTCATTCACTCACTCACTCATTCATTATTTTTATAAAAAATCTCAAAGTGGTGAACATATCTAATACTCCTTCCTCCTCCAATTTTCCCCACAACAACAACTCTTTGAGGTGAGCTGGGCTGAGAGAAAGTGACGGGCCCAAGGTCACCCAGCCAATTTTCGTGCCTAAGGCATGATTAGAATTCATAGTCTCCTGATGATCATCCCTAAGTCACCCAGCTGGCTTTCATACCTAAAACAGGACTAAAACTCCCAGTCTTCCAGGTTTTAGCCTGGTGCTTTAACAACTAGACCAAACTGGCTCTTGTTATGATTTCTCAAAGGAGTTGAATCTTCGCGTAACGGGTTCAAAATAGGATAAGAGTAAGTGAGAATTCTTAAGTTGGTGTGTTCAATGATCCTTTGTTTTGTTTTCTTGGCTATCTGTGGTTTACTCAGGATTCTTCTCCAACATTAAATTTGGAAGAATCAGTACTGTATTCTTTATATCCTGCTTTTTCAAAGTCCAAGATTTGTTCCCATAGAGTGTCTCAAGGAAGACCATTCCCTGCACAGTTCTGATCTTTGTAGATCTGGACATACTCCAGCCAGCAATGCTGACTGGGGTATTCTGGGAGTTGAAGTCCACACATTTTAAAATGGCTACGGTTGACCAGTACTGTTCTGCAACATCTTCAGGAACTGCATAGTTACCGATTACTGGCTCTTGAGGGCATCTATCCATCCAAGAGTTCTTAAAGAGTGTGAACGTGAAATCAATGACATATAAGCACAAATATGTAACTTGCTTTTCAGCAAAAGCTTAATGCCAGAGACCTGGAAAGTAGCCAGTCTTTTTTTAAAAAAGGGTGAGCAAGGACATTATAGGCCTAGGGATTTAATGTCTATTTGAGGAATATTTGTATAACTATAATCAAGAAGAAAAATAAATAAAAAACCCCATGGCTTTAAATATTCTTTAAAGATATATAGGTAGTCCTGATCCTTTGATTGGTTGCTTAGCAACCTTTCGAAGCTACGACAGACACAAAAAAGGGGATTTAGGGCCTGGATTCCTACAGTTAGGCCCATTTCACAGTCATATGACCGGACTTTGGGTGTGTGGCAACACATCTGCATTCACAGCTGTTTGCAGAATCCCACAGTCTCATGACCAGGTTTTATGACTGTTTTGCCCCAAACTGGCTCTTATTTCCAGTCTTTGCCCATAGTGAACTGTTGGCTTGCTCAATGACTGCCATGTTCACTTTATGACTGCTGCATTCACTTAGTGATTGCCACAAAAAATGCCATAAAATCAGTTCAATCATGTAACTTACTCATTTTAGAACTGTCACAACATGCAACCCTAGTAGGCAGAGATCTTGGAGAAGGTTTACAGGCATGTGGATGAAGGTGGCCTGTTGATGTTGCACACTTGGATTTTCAAAGAGTCTTAGAAAAATTCCTCAGCCGAGGTCAAAATAAAATTGCCATCGTGCGGTAAGAGAAACTGTCCTTTTATGGAAGGCTAAAAAACGAAAGCAAAGAGTACAAATATCAGTGAGATCTGTTCTCTGTGGAGTAAAATAAGAAGTGGAGTCCTATTCTCCTTTGAGTTTTGGAATTTCTGGTGAAAGGAGGGGATATAAATTCAGGAATTGCAATTCACCATTAATAAGAACCAAGTGATGTAATAGCAATGGCTGCTGTATAGCTTTGTGTGCTCACTTGCCATTTCAGCGATCCTCTTCCCAACGGGCTATGGTCCAGTAGTGGTCCACAGCCTGGGAGTTGGGGACCCCTGTTTTAGGAAGATAACCCAAAAAATACATAGCAATAACACTTAGACTTATATACCACTTCACAGTGCTCTACAGCTGTCTCTAAGTGGTTTACAGAGTCAACATATTGCCCTCAACAATCTGGGTCCTCATTTTACTGAGCTCAGAAGGATGGAGGACTGAGTCAACCTTGAGAATCGAACTGCTGGCAGTCGGCAGAATTAGCCTGCAATACTGCATTCTAGCCACTGGGTCACCATGGCTGGCTTTTTTTTTACAACTTTGCATGTAAATTCACAGTTGCTGCTCTCCCAGAATTAACTGCCTATTTTTGAACTGATCTTGTCAAGCTTTGTAGCTACATTGCAGCTTGTGGAATTCACATTCATTTGAAATGACCCCGGTGAGCAAGTCATATAAGTCTCTCTTTGGGTCAGTTCTCCTGCCCAGCCCCAAAGACAAAATGTTTGAATTCTAAATTAGCTTCAAAATCACATTAGTGAATGCTTCAATGGTAACATTCCTCATGTTCTGACAGGAAGCTGATAGACTAAAGGATGTAATTCTTGAAGTTTTTGAGCTGAATTCTAAATTAGCTTCAAAATCATATTAGAGAATGGGTCAGTGGAAAAACTCAAGTTCTGACAAGGAGTTTTTTGTTTGTTTGTTTGTTTGTTTTTTAATTTGATTTATATGCTGCCCTCCTCCAGAGACTCAGGGCGGCTTACAGTGCGTTAAGCAATAGCTTTTGTATATTTATACAAAGTCAGCTTATTGCCCCCACAAACTGGGTCCTCAATTTACCTACCTTAGAAAGGATGGAAGGCTGAGTCAACCTTGAGCCTGGTGAGATTCGAACTTGCAGTAATTGCAGGCAGCTGAATGTTAATAATAGGCTATTAGTCTGCTGCGCCACCAGGCTCCTGAGTTGATAGACTAAAGGTGTCATTCTTAAAGGTTTAGACCTCTACTCATTTTACTTGACTTCTCGGCAGAGAAATGACTGTAAATTTTTTGTCCAGATATTCTAACTCTCACTGTCTTCATTCTGACAATCAGTTCATTTAACCTGAAATTCTTATTACTCAGGTTTTACAATGCCTGAGGTGGGTTCTACTTACCTTTACTACTGGTTCGCAACGAGATCGCGCATGCGCAGATCTCCTATGATGATATCCAGGGCAGTGGGCGGAGCCTCCCACCGGTTTTACTACCAATTCTTGCGAACAGGTCTGAACTGGGGGCAACCCACCACTGGTAAGACCACACTTGGAATATTACATCCAGTTTTGGTCACCATGATATAAAAAGAGAGAAGAGCAACAAAGATGATTAGGGGGCTGGAAGCTAAAACATATGAAGAACAGTTGCAGGAATTGGATATGTCTAATTTAATGAAAAGAAGGACTAGGTATAGGGGTGACATGATAGCAGTGTTTGAATATCTCAACCTATTCTCCAAAGCACCTGAGGTCAGGACAAGAAGCAGTGGATGGAAACTAATCAAGGAAAGAGCCAACCTAGAACTAAGGAGAAAGCGCTGGGTAAACAACGTTAACACAAAGTCCTAATCTTTTCAGAAATGTAAATACAGGATGTCTGGCAGAGACCCTATCTCAGATATGCAAGGCATGGGGACCCAGCACATAGGCATTGTTTGTCACAGGAAGAACATGAGGGAAACACGAGGGGTTCATATGGAATTCACGAGCTTTCTTTAGCCAATCAGTATCAGTAAACGTTGATTAATGTTTTGCCATGGGAGTTGTAAAATGACAATAAAAGGGAGCCTTTTGAATGGGATCAGGGTGCCTTCCACAAGGTACCTTCCCACCGAGGTGCCTTGATCAAGGTGCCTTCCCACCGAGGGGCCTTCCCATGAACCATCTTCCTGCCTACGCGTCTTTCTTCATTGAAACAACAGGGAGAAGGGCGGTATAGAAAACAAACAAACAAACAAACAAATAAATAAATAAATAAATAAATAAAATTTCCACCATGGAGACTGCGTTGTATAACCATTTCTCACAATCGTTGCAGCGTCCCCATGGTCATATAAGCAAAATTTGGATGCTTGGCAACTGACATGCATTTATAACAGTTGCAGTGATCCTAGGTCATGTGATCACTAAGGTACACTGCAAAAGAAAATATTATTATTTTGCAACCTAATCCCTAGGATTCCAGGATAAACCTTTTAGCTTTGGTAAGAATCTTGCTTCCTAGGCCTTTTCTCTGAAGTTCTGATCCTTTGCTTACACATTTCCAGGTTCGTTGATGCTATATGTAAACCATGGGAAGAATGGACACCCATCAATCAAAGGCCCCGAGCTGGTTCCTCTTAGGTTTCATAGCTGTGTCTCTTCAGCTGAGTGATCCTGTTTTAAGTCAAGGTAAATATGGAAATTATTTTGTAAGGACTTTGGGGTACAAAAAAGGATTCTCATTTTTTTAAAAAAGAAAGCTTCAAAGCTTATTTAGAGTCATTTAGATGTTAAATCTAAATCTTTTCCCTTCCATCTTTCCCCATTACAGGGTTTTTTTTTCCAATGAGTCCTCTCTTCTCATTTGTTGGCCAAAGTGTTTGAGCTTCAGCTCAAAAACCCTTGGAGCAGTGGTGAAATGCAAAAATGCAAAAAGCTACCGATTCTGTGGGTGTGGCTTGGTTGGCGTGGCTTGGTGGGGGGGGGGTCATGTGACTGAGTGGGCATGGCCAACTTTTTTTTTTTACTTTTTAAAGCATTTTTTTATTACCTATTCACCCAAATCAGTAGTAAAAAAATGCTTTAAAAGTAAAAAAGGTTCCAACGATCACAGCTGTGCTGCGCGATCGTCAGAACCTTTTTAAAAAACATTTTTAAAGCATTTTTTACTACCGGTTCAGGCGAATGCCTCTGCCCATGGCCTCGGGACCTATTATATGCCTTCCGTCCGACCCCTCTCATCCAGAGGGTCATCAGAAAGATCACAGCGCGGCACAGCTGTGATCGTTGGAACCTTTTTTTAACTTTTTAAAGCATTTTTTTACTACTGATTCGCCCAAACCGGTAGCTTTTATCACTACCAATTCACCCGAACTGGAGCGAACTGATAGCATTTCATCCCTGCCTTGGAGGCTTTGTTAGTTTGATGAGGGGACTGAGATGGGTAGAAAAGAAAGGTAACTCATATGCAATCCATCCCATGCGGTAAACTTACATTTTGCTTCTTTTTTGAGCCTAAGGCAAACCAATACAATTTGTAACATGCCATTGCCTCAAAGAAAGTTCAAGTCCCTGTTTGTTTTGGCGCTGGACGCAGAGCAGAAATAGATTTGTACAAAAAGATATGCGGTGCTGCCTTTGATGTGACGAGTCATCAATCGTGCAGATTTGGATAAAGGTCTTTTGCAGACGTGCTGATCTTTGGCAAATTGTAGAAAGATGCATCGGGCGTATTGTGTAATTCTCAAAATAACTTTGTATGCAGTCCTCGAGTTATAGCCATAATTAAACCTGCAATTATGGTTGTAACTCCTAATGGCTGTAAAAGGAACCATCTGGCTTAACCTGATTTTATGAACTTTTTTTGCAGTGGTTGTTAAATGAACGTGATAGCTTAAAGTGAATGCTAAGCAAATACTGCAGTCATCAAGGGAACCCATTGCTTGCTATGGGTCAGATTTTGCTAGAAACTAGAAGTAATTGCTGATAAAGCACCTTAAGCACCTCTATAACTGTCTGGTTTGGTTCTGCAACCCAACAAGACAGACACAGACATCGGAGGATAATTAGAACTGCAGAAAAAACAATTAATACCAACCTGCCTTCCATTGAGGACCTGTATACTGCACGAGTCAAAAAGAGAGCTGTGAAAATATTTACAGACCCCTCACATCCTGGACATAAACTGTTTCAACTCCTACCCTCAGAATGACGCTATAGAGCACTGCACACCAGAACAACTAGACACAAGAACAGTTTTTTCCGAATGCCATCACTCTGCTAAACAAATAATTCCTTCAACACTGTCAAATTAGTTACTAAGTCTGCACTATTATTAATCTTCTCATCGTTCCTTTCACCCATCTCCTCCCACTTATGACTGTATGACTGTAACTTTGTTGCTTGTATCCTTATGATTTATATTGATCGTTTCCTAGTATGATTTGATTGCTTATTTGTACCCTATGATTATCATTAAATGTTGTACCTTATGATTCTTGACGAATGTATCTTTTCTTTTATGTACACTGAGAGCATATGCACCAAGACAAATTCCTTGTGTGTCCAATCACACTTGGCCAATAAAGAATTCTATTCTATTCTATAATGTTGTGGTCATGTTACTGTCGAGTACAGCAAATGGCCATAAATGCAGTCTGTCTGTCTGTCTGTCTGTCTCTGTCTGTCTGTCTGTCTGTCTGTCTCTCTCTCTCTCTCTCTCTCTCTCACTCACTCTGTGTGTGTGTGTGTGTGTGTGTGTACACGTCCTGAACATTGAAACTTTGAAACCAGGTCATAAGTGACCAGTTGTAAGCCAAGGACCATCTGTATATGCAAATTATATGTGCAGGTATACAGATGGGCAGGAATTGCTGGATGATGGAGACTATGCTGCTATACTTGAGGATTCATTACCAGGAAACCATGATAGTTGGACAGATTATTGATCATAGTTGTCTTCTGCTTCTCAGAGCAAGAGATCAACTATCCCAGATCTGGTGCTCTTCAGATGCGTAGGATAAAAATCTCCACTTACCCCAGGGAGCCTAGAGTAGCAATAGTTGCTGAAAATGATCAAACTCTAATAATGCAACTTATCTGGAGGGGAAGAAAGATTAGCTTCGCTCTGTCCTAAGTGACATTCTGCTTTTAGGCTAGGGAATATCTAACAAGTTTAATTGCTTGAAATTTCAGGCATTCCAGTCAAATAGCTCCTTTCATACTATTAATTTAATACATACCAAGCACCATCACTTTCTTTTGAAAATCATGATATTTCCCGAAGCCTTGTGAAACGTAGAATATACTTACTTCATGCCCTGGGCATGACTGGAAGTATGGCTATAAATCATCTCTGCTGTCCTCCTCACAAGAAACCTAAAAAATTAGAATATTTACTTTGTATAATTCCTGCCCACATATCTAACAAAGCAGTTACTGTATATGAAGAAAGCATATTGCTCAGCTTGCTTTTAATGTCTAATTTCTCTGTTCCTTCGTCATTTGTTGTATAGAGTTTGTTTGGGGGAACCAATAATGTATTTTTGCAGGGGTGTATATAATATCATTTATCATAATAAATGATTTAATCATTTATCATATTGATGGTAGTAGGCGGTCCCTGGTTACTTACGGGACCGCCTACTACCATCAATAGCCTCCCACCGACCAGTACGCTCCCACAGAGAGGGGCTCCTCCAGGTGCCATCGGCCAAACAATGTCGGCTGTCGGCCCCTAGGGGGAGAGCCTTCTCTGTGGGGGCACCGACGATCTGGAACGAGCTCCCCCCAGAGATACGGAGGATTCCGGATCTGCGCACCTTCCGCCGCGAGCTGAAGACTCTGTTATTTCATCAAGCTGGCCTCGCCTAAATCTTCTCCCTTTTAAGTGCAAATTTTAAATTTTAATGTATTTTAAAATATGGGTATTTTAAATTATGGGTATTAATTCAGCCAAATTTATTTAATTCATTTTATTCGATTTTAAATTTTGTATATGTATGTGTTTTATTTTATGGCTGTTCACCGCCCTGAGTCCTTCGGGAGTAGGGCGGTATAGAAATTCAATAAAATAAATAAATAAATAAATAATATCATATCATGTTAGAAGTTCAGATGATATGACGCTTTTGATATTTGATATCCTTTGCTTTGTCTAAAAAAAAGTATGATGAATTGGAATGCCTGTAGGCTCTGCATTTTTAAATGAAATATGATAAGCCATATTAATTTATTAAAAAAAATTCCCTTTCAGTGGCTCCACCATCAAGATTAAGATATACTGTTATTGGTCCTGACAGTATTCAGATTTCATGGAAAGGCCCCAAAGGGAGGTTTGAAGGATATAAGCTTCTCATCACTCCTAGTTCAGGTAAGGAGAATTGGGGAAGGGATTTTTCCACCTGGATACCAAAATTCACACCTGGCCTAAACGTATACTTCAAGGAGGGAACAAAACAGCACACCCCGTTGTGTTACACCCATAGAAACTGGGTATATGTCAGAGAAGGAGTGACAGAATCTGGGGGCGGAGTTAAAAGAGGGATTAGCCCAGGGGTGAAATGTAAAATTTGTTACTACCGGTTCTGTGGGCGTGGCTTGGTGTGTGTGTGTGTGTGGGGTAATATGACTGGGTGGGCGTGGCCAACTTTTTTTTTTAACTTTTCAAAGCATTTTTTCTAATGCTTTGAAAAGCCTCTGCCGATCAGGCAACTCAGCTAGGATCGTCAGAGACTTTTCAAAGCATTTTTTACAGAAAAAAATGCTTTGAAAAGCCTCTGACGATCCCAGATGAGCCGCGCGATCATCAGAGGCTTTTTTTTTATATAGCATTTTTTTGGCTGAAGAGGTTGTAGAAAAAATGCTTTGAAAAGTTTTTTTAAAAAGCCTCTGATGATTGCGTGGCTCATCTGGGCATGGTGGGGGGAGCGCAGGGATTTTTGCTACCGGTTCTCCGAACCACCCGCCGCCATCGCTACCGGATCGAGCAATCCGGTCCGAACCGGGGGCATTTCACCCCTGGATTAGCCTAGAACCATGATGGTGAACCTATAGCACGCATGCCCAAAATGGCATGCGGAGCCATGTCGCCTGGCACGTGTGGCATCACCTGTTCCTCTTCCGGGTTTCTGGTGCGCATGCGCACGCAATGATCAGCTGGCCTTCGTGCGTGTTGCAGTGCCGGAAACTGGAAGAGCTGGTCTTCCATTTTCTGGCATGAGTATGCATGCCAACCAGCTGATCGCCATGTGTGCATGCACGGCAGTAACCGGAAACCGGAAGTACCTTATCCGGTGTGCGGATGCCCCATGGGCAGCTCCTCTTCCTGGTCACGGCCCTGATGAGCACGTGACATGCTCCCTTTTCGGCATTTGGTGCCGCCCGCGCGCTTGCTGAAAAGGTTCACCATCACTGGCCTAGAATCTTGACAAAGCCACAAGTGGACTAAGTCAAGTCCAGACTAACCCAAAGCAAGCGTTATCCGTTATCTGAGAACATTCTTGTGCATTAGCATCATCTTCTTTTAACGACCCCATAATCCCTTGCGGAGTGGAGTCTGGGCAAACTGAATGGAGCTGAGTGTTTACTGGCCAGATGCCTTTCCTGTCTCCAGTGTGGACTTATATTCAGCAGATATATCCTCAACATGCCCAGAGAGACAAATATCTGCCACTACCTAGGATCGAACTCACAGCCTCTTGATTGTGGGGCGAGAGCTCCACCTCTAGGCCACCGCACCACTCATTCTTGTGCACAGCATGATTAGCAATAAATCAGTTTAATTAGACCTTCGTGTGTGGATCTATTTTTTCCGCACCTGAAAATGTATTTGTTGTGGCCTGCCAGCGGAGCTCCGCCGGTAGCTGGCGGGCCACAACGATATTGACTATTGAAACTAAATGCAACTTGGATTGCACCCAACATGTAGCTTGAGGGTAACAGGATAGCTTGTAGAATAAGCCTTTTGGGCTTCCCAAAGTTCCTTAGAAACTGACAAGGTCACCCTATTATTTTTGTGTGAACAGCGCTTTCTATCTTTCCAATTTTACTCAGATCCACTGCTTCGGCTGAAGCATCTTAAGCTTAAAGCGTACAGGTAGTTTTCAAGTTATGACTGACCTGAGAAAGGGAATTTATGGCCCAGATCTGAAATTTCAATAGTTCCCCCATGGTTACATGACTGCAGTTTGGTTGCTCAGCAATGTGCATTTACAGCCATTTGTAGGGCCCCACGGTCATGTGACTGCGTTTTACAACAGTTTTGCTGAAAAGCAACGCTTACACTTGGTTTTTAGAAAAAACCATGCCATTGCAAACAATGGGTTTGCATAATGTCCATCACATTCGCTTAGCGACCGCCATGTTCGCTTATCAACCACTGCAAAAAAAAAAAAGTCATAAAATTGGGTTGGTAACATGATGGACCTATTTCAGAGGTGGGTTTCAGCAGGTTCTGACCAGTTCTGGGGAACCAGTAGTGGAAATTTTGAGTAGTTCGGAGAACCGGTAAATACCACATCTGGCTGGCCCCACCCCCAACTATACTCTGCCTCCTGAGTCCCAGCTGATTGGGAGTAAATGAGGATTTTGCAGTAACCTTCCCCTAGAGTGGGGAGGGAATGGGGATTTTGCAGGATCCTTCCCCTGGATTGGGGAGGGAATGGAGATTTTACAGTATCCTTCCCTTGCCATACCCACCAAGCCACGCCCACCAAGCCATGCCACACCCACCAAGCCACACCCAGAGAACCAGTAGTAAAAAAATTTGAAACCCACCACTGACCTATTTTACAACTTTTAAGACTTAAGATCATAGTGGACAGTCTCCATTATGGTTGTAACTTGAAGACTAGCTGTAACAGCTCACCAAGAAGAACTGGTTAGATTTCATAACTACTTTTTCTTATCAAAGCAAATACTCTGTAGAGTATGACTTGAATGCCATACGTATGACTTGAATGTCATCCTTAGCTATTTTTAAAAATGTTGTTAACCTTTTCAAGGCTTCTAAACAGAGATGGGTTTCAGCAGGTTCTGACCAGTTCTGGAGAACCGGTAGCGGAAATTTTGAGTAGTTCGGAGAACTGGTAAATACCACCTCTGGCTGGCCCCGCCCCCATCTATTCTCTGCCTCCCGAGTCCTAGCTGATCGGGAGGAAATGGGGATTTTGCAGTAACCTTCCCCTGGAGTGGGGAGGGAATGGAGACTTTACAGTATCCTTCCCCTGCCATGCCCACCAAGCCACATCCACCAAGCCATACCAGGTCCACCAAGCCACACCCACAGAACCGGTAGTAAAAATTTTTGAAACCCACCACTGTTGCAAAGGGTTGATTGCATGACCCTGGGAAACTGCAACTGTCATAAATATGAATCAGTTGCCAAATGTCGGAATTAACATTCAGTGAATTGACCATGGGGATGCTGCAAAAACTGTCATAAGTCACTTTTTCAGTGCCGTTGTAACTTTAAACAGTTACTCAGTGAACTGTTGTAAGTTGAGGACTACCTGTATTACTGAGCTGTTCTTCTGAAGGTGACAGGAGAAAGTTATGAAAAGCATGGGCAATGTAATTATTATAATAAACACTTTTAATTATTCTTCTATCTACATTAGTGGCCAAAATTGTGGAAAAGTTTTTGAGAAAAGTGTATTTTCTAAAACTAGCTAATAACACCACTTTTTTTTTTGGAATAGTACCATAAAATTATATCTCAATGGAAAGATAATTTAATCAAGAATGTAATGCAATAACTTTTATGGAGGATTTGCTATTAGAATAGCAGTTACAGTATAACGAAGAAAAGCGAAACACGTAGAAAAAACGAGATATACAAAATGATCACCATGTCAGTTAATACTTAGTTGGGTGACCTTTAGCATGAATTACGGCCTTACAACGTCTTCCCATGGAGTGAACCAAGTCTTTTAGTTCTGCAGCTGTTACAATGTGAAACAAAGATTGAAGGATTGCTTCTATTAACTGGGTTTTATTGCTGGCTAGCAACTTTCATTAGTCATCTCCATAGATTTTCAATTGGGTTAAGCTCTGGGCTATTCCCAGGCCATTCCAGCAGTGGAATATGATTATCTTGAAACTCACACACACACACACACAAAAAGGGGTTATTAGCCATCAAACCTCAAAAATATACTTTTCCCAAAAGGTTTCCACAATTTTGGCCAATACTGTAGTTTACCAGAGCCTTGCCCAATTTCTGAAGAAGAGCACCTAAAACATCAATGAGAGACAACAAGGTGCAGAAATAAACATTTTTTAAAGAAATCCTCACCCTGTCTTCTTATTGACAATGAAGAATTCAGTTTTCCATCAGCTCAGGGTTGAACTATGAGGTCCTCGGTGCTTTCTGAAATTTCCTTGCAGACATTTCATTACCTGACTAGGTAATACCATCAGTATTTTGGGAAGGAAGCAGAACTTCCATTGAACAAGAAGTGTATTTCCCCATCAGGTGTATCTTTGAATAAATCCTGTTTATAGGAAACAGATGGTGTGGGGTGGGAAGTGCTTTTCTTCATTGAAAAGCCTTTAAAAGTTTTTCAGCAGCCCAAAATTGATCTCTCAGGTAATCCTCCTCTCACCCGTGTAGATGATCTACCTAATCCGTTTTTAATTCAGCTCTGTTCTGTGGTGTCTGTTTTTCTTTAGTGACCAAAATTGTCTCCTTCTGATGTAATGATTAAAAGATGTTTGGTTATTAATGAGATGTTGGTTTCTGTGAGCTCAGGGGACAAATAAAGCAGATGGAAGTAATAAAACAGTTATAACAGAAAAGATGGAACAGATTATAAAATAACAACCAAAAGAAACAGTTTTGAAAATATACTGTACAATAAAAGTTCTACATATGGGCTATCATTACCAATTTTAATTTTACATTCACTTTTTAATAGGTTATTGTGCATCCCAACTGGAATTCGTTGAAGATTTTTTTCCCCAAACTAAGAAAATATTTTTAAAAGCTTCTTTCTTTAGATACAGAATTGTTTCCTGCACATTTTAGAAACTTCTGCAAGTTTCTAAAAAATCCTGCATGGATTTCGTAGCAGATGCCTAGCAAACCTTCCAGTTGTGGCTTATTCAGCAAATTGTAGTTAAGAAAACAGTGGCTAAACTCAGTCACTATAAATACAACACGTAGTAAGCCCTTCGAGTACCGTGCACTAACAGTTTTTATTGTGGTGCCTTAAATTTTGCATGGTATTATAATATTGTTTTATTATTCTTAGATTGTTTTGGTATTTTTATATTGTTTTAATTGCATGCAAGCTGCCCAGAATCATGAATTTGAGATGGGAGACTAGATAAATTAATATAATAAATAAAAGTATACATTGTTCTGGGATTACAGGATGAAGTTCTGCTCACAAAATAAACAAATCCTTCCAAATGCAAATGGAAGGATCATGTTTGAACTCACCCATAAGAGATTTTGTTCTTAGTGTGTTATGTTTCTACATGAAGTTACTAATTTGTTGGGGAGTGGTCCCAAAATCAAGTATATTACTCTACCATTTGCAGAATAACTCTTTTCCTTTCCTTTCCTTTCCTTTCCTTTCCTTTCCTTTCCTTCCTTCCCCTTCCCCTTTCTTTCTTTCTTCTTCCTTCCTTCCTTCCTTCCTTCCTTCCCTCCCTCTCTCATCTCGTCTCGTCTCTTCATTTGCTTCTCATTTCACTATCCTTCCTTCTTTCCCTCCTTCCCTCCCTCCTCCCTTCCTTCCCTCTTTCTTCTCTTCTCTTCTCTTCTCTTCTCTTCTCTTCTCTTCTCTTCTCTTCTCTTCTCATTTCACTGTCCTTCCTTTCTTCCTTCCTTCCTTCCCTCCCTCTTTCTTTTCTTTTCTTTTCTTTTCTTTTCTTTTCTTTTCTTTTCTTTTCTTTACTTTTCTTTTCTTCTCTTCTCTTCTCTTCTCTTCTCTTCTCTTCTCTTCTCTTCTCTTCTCTTCTCATTTCACTGTCCTTCCTTTCTTCCTTCCTTCCTTCCCTCCCTCCCTCTTTCTTTTCTTTTCTTTTCTTTTCTTTTCTTTTCTTTTCTTCTCTTTTCTTCTCTTCTCTTCTCTTCTCTTCTCTTCTCTTCTCTTCTCTTCTCTTCTCTTCTCTTCTCTTCTCTTCTCTTCTCTTCATTTGCTTCTCATTTCACTGTCAAGTGACTCTGGGTGGCCAATACCCTAACGGATGGTATCTCTTGGTGAGCCTGCATGCACTTGGAAGCTAAGCAGGGTTAAGCCTCGTTAATATTTGTAAGGGAAACCCCTTGGGACCCCAGAGTACAGATTACACTAGGAAATAAAAGAAAAAATCATCCTGGAAGAAAGAAATCTCAACCTGTTTCCTGGGTTGTTACAGAGGAAGCTACGTAAATATGTCAGTAAAGTCACCAGAAATTGAACTTGGCTTGAAGAAGACGTCTTACTGTAATGGCCTTGTAGGCAGAAATCCCAATGCTCAGGCATGCTTGCATAGTTGCCTGAAAGGCTAAATGATTAAGGGGAGGTAATTCCCCATGTAGAAACATGACCGAAAGCTAGATCATGTCAGGGTATGCCAAAGGAGTGACTTCGTGCAATGATTGTATTTCATTAGACGCCCACTTAAATATCCTAGCCAGGTCCTTTCATGACTTCCCTTAGGAATTTAAGGAGGAAGGATAAGAAAGAAGTCCAAGAAACCTTCCTTAGGGAGGACTAGAAATGAAGGAATAATTAGAATTTGGCAACTTCATGGCCTTATCTTGCACATGTACGTAAACGAAAAGGTTATACTTGATACTGTTATAATGAAATGGGAAGTGCAATGCTGATCGTGTTTCTCTTTTGCAGGAGGGAAGACAAATGAGCTGATGCTTCAGAACAATGCAAACAAGGCGATTATCCAAGGTCTTATCCCCGATCAGAGTTACATCGTTCAGATAGTGGCCTTTGCTCAAGATCAGGAGAGCAAAGCAGCGCAAGGCCAGTTCCGAAGTATGTCCTCTCTTTCGGTCTGCCTGCTTCACAAGACTGGGCTTATATGGGTAGGGCAGTGATGGCGAATCTTTTCGGCACCAAGTGCCCAAACTGGAATACGCATGCATGTATGTGTGCAGGAGCGCCGGAAACCTGAAGACCAGCTGGCTGGCATGCACATGCCTGGTTTTTGGTTGTTTTTTGGCCATTTCCAGGACACTTTTTGGGCATTTTCAGGCCATTTTCAGGGCTGTTTTCAGGCAGTTTTTTGGGCTGTTTTTGGCCTTGAAAACAGCCCAAAAATGGCCTGAAAACGACTGGAAAAATGGCTGGAAAACAGCCAGAAAAATGGCTGGAAAACAGCCCGATAAATGGCTCAAAAATGGCCTGAAAAACAGTCTAGTTTTTGGCTGTTTTCAGGCTGTTTTCAGGCCGTTTTCCGGAGATTCAGTGCCTGCGAAGACCAGCTGGCTGACATGCATATGTGTGGCAGAAACCAGAACAGCAGCTGGTGACTGCATGCGTGCCCACAGAGAGGGCCCTGTGTGCCACCTCTTGCATGTGTGCCATAAGTTTGCCATCACGGGAATAGAATAACAGAGTTGGAAGGGACCTTGGAGGTCTTCTAGTCCAAACCCTGCTTAAGCAGGAAACCCTATACCATTTCAGACAAATGGCTGCCCAATCTCTTTTTAAAAACTTCCAGTGTTGGAGAACCCACAACATCTGGAGGCAAGTTGTTCCACTGATTAATTGTTCTAACTCTCAGGAAATTTCTTCTTAGATCTAGGTTGCTTCTGGTTCTAGATCACATGTGACTCCCTTAACAATCTAGCTTAGCAATGGAAACTCTGATTTTAATTCTGGTTGCAAGTTGAGGGCTACCTGCAGAAGCATGGCCATCTTGAGAAGCCAATAGAGATAACAAATCATTATCCTGTTTTTTTTAAAAAAACTAATTGCACTTCTTGTTTTGCAGTTAAAGATCTAGAGAAAAAGAAGGATACTTCAGGCAAACCCAAACCGAAAGAGGTGGGCAAACTGAAGCCTGCTGTGCCAACAGAGGATACAGAATTGATGCCCCTTCCAAAACCAGAAGGTGAGAATTTATCAAGAGAGGTGTAGGGGTGACTTAATGGTGACATTTTTGCCTTTAATCCAGGAATGAAATCCAGCAGGTTCTGACAGGTTCTGGAGAACCGGTAGCAGAAATTTTGAGCAGTTCGGAGAACCGGCAAGTACCACCTCTGGCTGGCCCCAGAGTGGGGTGGGAATGGAGATTGTGCAACATCCTTCCCCCAGGAGTGGGGTGGGAATGGGGATTTTGCAATATCCTTCCCCTGCCACGCCCACCAAGCCACACCAAGCCCATCAAGCCATGCCACAGAACCGGTAATAAAAAAAAATGGATTTCACCAGTGCTTTAATCAGTGGTGGGTTGCCCCCGGTTTGGATCGGTTCTATAGAACTGGTAGTAAAACCGGCGGGAGGTTCCGCCCACTGACCCTGAAGTCATCAGAAGCGATCTATGTATGCAGATCCCGTTGCGAACTGATAGTAAAGGTAAGAAGAACCCTCCCCTGGCTCTAATCGCTTCTTTGTTGTGATTGTCTTGGATTTGTCTTTCTGTTCCCATTCCATTTTATAAAAGTGAATTTGCTTTTAGAAAGCCTTTCAGAGATAGGAATTTCATAACATCAACTCGGGTTGACTTTACTCCTTTGGTCCTAATTTAGTTATGGGGCTACCAAAGTTGTGCAAACCTGCCGTCTCTCATTCTTCAGTGGTCTTTCCAGTTACCTGGATCCCCCTTGCAGCTTCCTATTTTCCATTAAAACTCAACTAGAAAATTGATGAGTAAATTTCTCCATGCCACTTTTTCAAGTAATTAGGTCAGGGGTCTCCTGCTGTTGGAGAAATTGTTGAAGAATTTCTCATTCCTCAGCAGAAGATTTGAAGAAATTGTCTTTAGAATTTCTTGGACTGTACGTGTGATGGTCTGCAAATTTAAGATGACAAAATTATAGAGATGGAGAATCTATTTCTTACTGAAGGATGACCTAGGTCACTGCTTCCCAACCTTGTCAACTTTAAGATGATGCTGGCTGGGAAATTCTGGAAGTTGAAGTCCAGACATCTTCAAGTTGACAAGGTTGGGAAATGATTCCCCAGACAGCAGAAGTTTTTGAGGTTGAAAAACATTTGTCCTAAATCAAATGTTTTTCAACCTCAACAACTTCTGCTATCTGGGGAATTCTGGGAGTTGAAATCCACAGACTGTAAATTGCTAAGGTTGAGAAACAGTATCCTGCACCATCTCTAACACTTAGAATAGAATAGAATAGAATAACAGAGTTGGAAGGGACCTTGGAGGTCTTCTAGTCTAATCCCCTACTTAGGCAAGAAACCCTTCACCACTTCAGACAAATGGTTATCCAAAACCTTCTTAAAAACTTCCAGTGTTGGAGCATTCACAACTTCTGGAGGCAAGTTGTTCCACTGATTAATTGTTCTAACTGTCAGGAAATTTCTCCTTAGTTCTAAATTGCTTCTCTCCTTGATTAGTTTCCACCCATTGCTTCTTGTCCTACCCTCGGGTACTTTGGAGAATAGGATGACCTCCTCTTCTTTGTGGCAGCCCCTGAGATATTAGAAGACTGCTATCAAGTCACCCCTAGTCCTTCTTTTCATTAAACTAGACATACCCAGTTCCTGCAACTATTTTTCATATGTTTTAGCCTTCAGTCTCCTAATCATCTTTGTTGCTCTTCTCTGCACTTTCTAGAGTCTCCACATCTTTTTTACATCGTGGCGACCAAAACTGAATGCAGTATTCCAAGTGTGGCCTTACCAAGGCATTATAAAGTGGTATTAACACTTCATGTGATCTTGATTCTATCCCTCTGTTTATGCCGCCTAGAACTGTGTTGGCTTTTTTGGCAGCTGCTACACACTGCTGGATCATATTTAAATGGTTGTCCACTAGGACTCCAAGATCCCTCTCACAGTTGACCATCCAGTCTCTGTTTGAAAACCTGTAGCAAGGAAGAGAGCTCCCTATTTCATGTGGCAGCTTATTCTGCTAGCTGTCAGCTCATATAGTCAGTCAATTCCTCCTGATGTTCATCTTAAACCTCCATCCTTGTGCTTTTAACCTACTGGAAATCCATTTCTACCATTCACAGGGTGTTCATCCCAAATTGTATAGCTAAAAGTCTGTAGAGATTCTCAGTCATCCAGGTCATGGTTGTCTGAAAAAGCACCTTTGGGACACTAGATTAATGGAATTCAAAGGGGGTTGGACCTGGAATGTTTTTGGACATGTAACAATTCTAGGCTGAATTCTCTCTTGACTCCACCCTTAGGCTCTGCCTGCTCTTCTCATACAAAACCTGAATTTACAGAATCTCCAGCCAGCATGGTCAAACCTTGTGTGGAAGTAGAGGGCACTACGTTGGAGATAGTTGGGTTAGGATTGTAATTGCCCTTCATTCTGAGATGTGCACATAAGTGTACTTGAGGAAATGCTTCCTGAATTCTTTATCTCGTGCAAGCAGGCACCTGTAATCTGAGGATGGGAATGATGTCACTGTTAATGGAGCAAGCCAGACTTGTCAAGGATGATGGAATGCCAGAATAAAATCTGTTTATATTGAACTATGCTTTGTACTTAAGTAGCCCACGAGAAATCTCTGTGCTATTTTAGAATTGATCTCCCCCCTCCCCGTTTAATAATCTACCGTTCCAAAGCAATTAGATTCTCATCAGTAAACTTTTATGACATGCAGAACAAGTGTGAGCAAGTTTCATTCTGTCGCCGTTTTCTGTCTAAAAGCCTCCTTTACTTCAGTAAGATTTCTGAAAGATTTCCGAAAGCCTCCTTCACTTCAGTAAAAGGGGGTAACCTGCTTCCTAAAGTTTCAGGTAACCCAAATTTCCTATTTTTTGCAACTGGCAGTGATCATTTCTGGTCATTCTGAGACAGAACCAGATGGATATTGTAATGCAGTGACTTACAATTGTTGGAAGAAATATCCATCTGGTTCAGTTTCAAGCTGAGAGAAAGACACTGGAAACATGGAGGCTGGTTGGATTGGAAAGATGGTTTAATGATGAACAGAACCACTAAGCACATGGTTCTGGTGCAGCTTGCAATTGATTTGATGAGTACATCGATTTTTATAAGTTTCAGAGAGGCCGCTAGGAGGGGATTGTCTGAAATGCCTGAAAATGTCTGAAATGCCCTGAGGCGATTGTGCAATTCTGCTAAACGGTAGCAGGTTAATCCTATTATGTCCTGAAGGATCATGTCCTGTTCTTAACCCCATCACCCTAAAACTGAAGGTCTTTTGTTTTGTAGATAGGTTGGCCCAATCTTTCTTAATGGCACAAAATATCTGCTGGGGTGGGGGGGCTGTTAAGAAAGACTGAGTCTGCTTTCTGCCTCTTAAAAAAAACATGTTTCTCCATTTCTCATTTAGGGAAATATAATATTCTGCCTTTTTTTAATATTCCTCAAAATATTTCATTCTTCTACGGGGTGGGGCTTCCCTCACAATGTAGGATGTTTACATAATCATAAAATAAGTCCAATATAATATACCAATTACAAAAATATAATTTAGCATGATAGAGACATATATATGGCCTGCCCTCTGTTAATTAATTTTTCTCCTTAGTGACATAAACGAAGGGAAAGGGAACAACATGCATCTCTCTTTTCAAACATCTGTCTAAACTGAGCACTTAATTTTGGTTGCCAACTTAGAACGAACAGCTAAATCCCTGAGGTCAGTTCACTATTGTGTTTAAGTGCATGGTAATACTTGTCTCACAAGAATGTTGTCAGGCTTAATTAATTTCTCTGCACATCATGAAGTCCCTTGAGCTGTCAGACTACAGGGAGGGAGACTAAGTGTTGATGTTCCTCACCTTTGTTCTTAAAAAGAAATCAGATCAGCATGAACAAACAAGGTGAATGTAAATAGTGTAATATGTCTCCTTTATAAACACGAAGAGATGCAGTTTAGCTTTTTCTCGGAAGGTCAGTGATGCGATGAATTCTGAGACTCTTAAAACCAAAATATTCTGCCATCGTTTTGACACTACCTGCTTTACTATCCCCTGCCAGGAATTTGAATTGGGGCAGGGGAAGAGAAGGTTGTATAACCGTGATGGCGAACCTATGGCACGCATGCCAAAGGGGGCACGCAGGCCCTCTCTGTGAGCACGTGAGCTGTCGCCCCAGTTCAGCTCCGCTGTGCATGCGCACATGCCTCCCACTGGCCAGCTGGTCTTCAGGTCTCTGCCATGCATGTGCGGGGGTCGGGGCACATGTGTGGGGGCCATGCATGCATGCGTGGGGGCAGGGTACATGCGTGGGGGCCGTGCAGGCATGCAGAGGGAGTGAGGCACATGCATGGGGACTGTATGTGGATGTGTGGGGGTGGGGCACATGCACAGAGGCCGTGCGCACATTGCTTTTTGGGGGTTTGGGCACGTGCGCTTGCGCGCTTTGGGCACTCGGTCTGGAAAAGGTTAGCCATCACTGGTATATAAAATCAACTAACTAATTAGTTCTTTGCATTGGGCAGGATTTCTCTTCCCTTGGAAGTAGAAACAAAGGTTGTCAAACAGAGATGTACCATTCTATCAGAAAAATTATTCTTGAATTTAGGGGAATGATAGATAGAACTAGGCAAAAAGACAAGTAAGAACATTTAAGATTACTACCAGTGGAAAAAATTCAAGGTTTCACTAAACCTGTTCCATCTTGAATGCAATTTTCTCACAAACACACATACAACCATGATCCATCCCTCTATCCCAGGGGTCAGCAACCTGTGGCTCTGGAGCCGCATGTGGCTTTTTCACCCCTCTGCTGTGGCTCCCTGTCACTCAAAATATGTGTCACAACCACCAATGTGCGACACCCGCCGGCATGAGATTTATTGAGCTTTTCAACTCCCGATAGGCCAACCATGGGTAAATCCAAGAAAAGAAAAGTTTCAGAAGAAAACAAAACATTTAAGTCAATTACATATGTTAGTTTTGTGGCCGCTCAAGAAATAATCAGGCACGGGAAGGGTTTTGTGGCTCCTGGTGTTTTTCTTTTCTGTGGGAAACGGTCCAAATGGCTCTTTGAGTGTTTAAGGTTGCAGACCAGTGGTGGGTTCCTCCCGGTCCGCCCGGTTCCGCTGAGCCGGTAGCGGTGACAATTTGATGTCACCAAACCGGTTCTACCCCCTGCCCCACCCCCCACCCCCGCCCCCCAACCCCCTGCCCCCCCACCCCAACCCCCTGCCCCCCCACCCCCCCGTGTTATTCTTACCTTTTATTTGGCCCCACCCCCAATCTATTGCTGCCTCCTGAGTCCCAGCTGATGGCTAGAGGGAAAAAAACTGTTTAAACTCTTGCCGTGGGGCTTCAAAGGGCCGCCCTACAGCTGATCAGTGTTAAAAGAAAACAAATGAGTATACCGGTGCCTGCAAAAATAAATGAGTAGACCAGTGCCTGCAAAAATACATGAGTAGTTCAGTGCCTGCAAGAAGAAATGGGTAGATCGGTACAGCTCTGCAAGCAGTTAAAAGCCTGGTAGACCAGTACCTCTGCTAAATCCTAAATAATTGTCACATGACCATCAAGCTACGCCCACAAAATAAGCCACACCCACAGAACCTGTAGTAAAAATTTTTAGATCCCACCCCTGTTGCAGACTCCTGATCTATCCTATCTGTTCATCCATCCATCTGGAGTCCTTGATGCTCTCTGAGCTTGGTTGTTTGCTTACAGAGATTTCATTATTTATTTATTTATTTATTTTATTTATTCGAATTTCTATACCGCCCTTCTCCTTTCGGACTCAGGGCGGTGAACAGCCAGATAAAAAACATCTATACAAACATCACAGTTAAAAAATAAAGTTAAAATAATTTATAAATTTGGCCCATAATTTAAAACTTGTCAATTTAAAATAAATATTAAAATTTTAAAACTAACCCTAAAATCAGGATTACCCAACTAGATAACATTATCAATGCCAGTACATCTGTTATTCCTATAAAAATAAAAATAACAGAGAGGGGACATTGTTGAATTTTTTAAATTCCATTTTGGCACATCCTCATAAATGTCTGTGACTGGGATGTAAGATAACTCTTCCCTAATTCAATCATTATTATTATTATTTTTTAAATAAAGAGCCTTTCTATGCAAGTGGATGACAGTAGCTCTGGAATGCTTCACTAATCTTTAATTTGCACACCTTAAGTCCGGATTAATGTGTCTTCGGTGTGGATTTCTTGTTATCTGAAAAAAAAAATCCTAGGTTTTTTTCCCTCAGATAATAAGAAATCCACCCCGAAGACACATTAATCCAGACTTAAGGTGTGCAAATTAAAGATTAGCGGTGTTCCCCCCCCCAGTAATGAAATCAAAAGCTCTAGAAGCTTCAACTTTCCCAGAGGGCAACCTTTGTTGTATTAGGTGAGGTCCAGTGACTTCATGCTTTCCCCATTTCCCTTAATTTTCTCTACCGGTTTGCAAATCCTGTCTTCCTTTCTCCCCTCCAGGAGCTGATGTGCCATGTTGTCAGGTAGCAAAGTGCCAAATTGTTCTTAATTGTCTCCTCCACCCATCGGTCAGGACAAAAGCAATGGAAGACATCACTCAGGATTTCAATCATTATAAAGGCAGATCTATCCCCAAAGCTATTGCATTTTAAAAACTCAGGAGAGGCATTTGTAGAGAAAGAACATTTTTCTTAAATACACAGACAGACAGACAGACAGACAGACAGACTGACTGACTGACTGACTGACTGACTGACTGACTGACTGACACATGCACACATAACATTTAGTTGTGGAATTTTCACCGCAAATCTAGCTTGACTCTAAGAACTCAAAGGCTTTCAGCTGTTTTTCTTCATGTTAAGGAATCCTCTTTTTTCCAAATATGGATGATTAAAGCGACATAGAACATTCACTGCTAACAGAACAGAAATTTAACAGAAATTTGGGAAAGGGAATCGTTAATCAAAACAACAGCACACAGGAAGCATCATTTGCAAAACGCAGGCCTGGCTTAAGTTCCAAGAAAAGCTTTGCTTTTAATTATGACCAAAAATAGAGACACATCAGATCATTTAGCAGGATTTCTATTGGCAGGGCCATGATAGATAAGAAAATTAAGTTAGAAGTACAAGAAGCGAGCCGGCTTTACAACTTTAGAGAAGTCTTTCCTAACCAGGTATCTTCCAGATTCTTTGCTTTGAACTCCCGTGGTTCCCACCTAGCTCACAATGTCTGGGAATAGTGGGAGTTGGTTGGGGAAGGCTGACCTAGAACTGTTCTAGACTGTCCATTCAGATTTTTATCCAAGCCTTATGATTTCAGAATTAAAACAATGCAGGTCTTGATTAGGTTGTTTTTATTCTGTATGCAAGATCTTAGGATGCTACAGGAATCAGACATATTTATGTTTCTCTGCTGATCAATAACTCCTCCAGCTTGAATTGAGAAAGAGCAAAAAACAAGCATTCCTGCATTTTTCAATAGGTGAAAGCTTCTTATTCTGTTACCTACCCTGTTTCCCCGAAAATAAGACCCAACCGGAAAATAAGTCCTAGCATGATTTTTAAGGATGCTCGTAATATAAGCCCTTATCCCCAAAATAAGCCCCAGTTAAGATAGTCAACCAGATGGAGGCGTTTAGTACTGTATTTCCCTCAAAATAAGACCTAACCAGAAAATAAGCCATAATGCATCTTTTGGAGCAAAAATTAATATAACACCCGGTCTTATTTTGGGGAAAATATGGTATTATTGGTCCTTTTTGTTATCTAGTTTTGATATCTAGTCACTGTGTTGGGAGACCAGGCACTTGGAGATGTGCTGTGCCAGCCATTCCTTCCAATGTCCACTTAAAGTGTCCCATGCAACACAAACCAACAAGACACTACTTCTTCTACAGCATTATTTGCCGCTTACCAAAATTTCAGACTTGAAATATATGGGACTAATTGCAGTAGTTTCCTAGGCGTATTAAACATTCAAGTCAATCTGTAAACAGATTTTCACCCTTATTTGGAATTCTTCCTATAGGGCTGTGATGGCGAACCGATGGCACGTGTGCCACAACTGGCAGGCGGAGCCATATCGGTGGGCACACAAACTCAGCTCCAGCTTTTCCTGCCTCTGGAGGGCCTGGGGGGTGGATGGGGAAGGCCCGTTTTTCACTCTCCCCAGGCTCCAGAGCCTTTCTAGGAGCCTGGGGAGGGCGAAAATGGTGGGACCGGAAGTCAGCAAACGGGCCATTTCTGGCCTCCGGAGGGCCTCCGGAGTGGTGGGGAAGGCCGTTGTCCCCCTCCGTATGCTCCCAGAGTGGCTCTGGAGCCTGGGGAGAGCAAAAAACGGGTCTACTGGGCCCACCATGCCATCACGTGCCAAAATTGGGGGGAGCACGGGGGGGTCGTGCGCGCACGCACGGGGTGCATAGAATTATGGATGTGGGCACGTGCATGCACTCCCCCCGTGCTTCCCCTGCTTTTGGCACACGACGGCAAACAGGTTAGCCATAACTGCTATAGGGGATGGATGTCAACAGAGCTTTTATCAACAGTAGCCTAGAAAGACTGCAGGGAAGAACAACAGAGATGGTAAGGTGTCTGGAGGTTAAAATCTACCAAGCATGGCTAAAGGAATTAGGTATGTTTAGTTTAAAGAAGAAAAGACAGAGGGGAAACATGATAGCAGTCTTCTATTAGTTGAAGGAGGCCTCAGGGAAGAGGACATTAATCCACACAGGCAGGCAGGACAAGAAGCAATGGGTGGAAATAAGGAGGAATTTCCTGACAGTGAGAACTATTAAGTTTCCAGGAGTTGTGGGTACTCCATCACTTGAAGTTTTCAAGAAAAGATTGACAATCATTTGTCCAAGATGGTAGTAGAACTCCTGCCTTGAGTAGAGGTTGGACTAGAAGACCACTAAGGTCCCTTCCAACTCTATGAATCTATGATTCAATGAAGTTTGATTCCATGGTTTCTCCCTCCCTCCCTCCCTCTCTTCCTTCCTTCTTTCATTTCTGGACCACTCATCTCCTTGAAGTTTTGCTGCTGAATGTAAGCTGAGCATGCTATTTTATTGTCATAAAAGCAAATATCAAGAGATGAATATGAAAACACTAGCTGGGTTTGCGGGGCATACAGGATAACAAGCATTACTAGATCTTGAGAAAGCTGATTTAATTCAGATGTTTGATCAAATAAATTTTGAAATAAAGTTCAGAATCAAATATTGACATGCCCTGTGAGACTTAAAATAGATGGGTAACTGTCATCTATTTTATTTTTATTTTATTTTTATTTTATATTTTATTTATTTGATTTGTGTAGCCATCCATCTCACAAAAGTGGCTCACAGCAACTGAAAACATCAAAAAGAGAGCACAGTACAGCTAACCCGTTGACTTATGGCCACAAGTGAGCCCAAAATTTCAGCTGCTAAGTAAGACATTTGTTAAGTGAGTTTTGCCCCATTTTAAAACCTTTCTTGCCACAGTTGTTAAGTGAATCACTGCAGTTGATAAGTTAGTAACCTGGTTGTTAAGTGAATCTGGCTTCCTCATTGACTTTGCTGGTCAGAAGGTTGCAAAACGTGACCTTGGGTCACCCCAACGGTCATAAGTGTGAACCTGTTGCCAAACATCTGAATTTTGATCACATGATCATAGGGATTCTTCAAAGTCGTAACTGTGAAAAACAGTCAGAAGTCACTTTTTTCAGTGCTGTTGTAATTTTGATTGGTCACTAAATGAACTGTTGTAAGTCAAACACTACCCGTATATTTCCTTTTCTTTTCTTTTTTCTTTTAGTCTAAGCTTGTTAGCATATGTATCTGGGCTAGATCTCTATTTCTATAACTCTTGTTTTTAAAGGAAAGCCCAACCTACATTGGATAAAATTCATTGATCAATCATCTTCCTTGTTATTTTATTCTAAACAGAAAACCAATTTAAGTGCAAAATTCCAGCCTTCGCAGACATCGTTATCTTGATTGATGGGTCCTGGAGTATTGGCAGATTCAACTTCAGGCTTGTGCGTCTTTTCTTGGAAAATCTGGTTATTGCCTTCAACGTGGATTCTGAAAAAACAAGAATAGGTAATCTTTCAACAATCCGAGTTTGTCTGTTTTGGTTTCCTCAACTCTTTATATTAATATGATTCCTTCTTTTGGGAGAATATTTAATTAAGCCATAATGCTATCGTGTCAAATTCCTTCTGAAAGGATGGATTTGAGTGTTTCTATAGGAAGGAATTCCTGAAAACCCTAATGGACCTAATCAAATATTTTTCTTCGTCTATGTGTCATCCCAGATGTGTTGATGGATTTGAACCAAGTTCTAGTGTGATATCTCAAATATCACACCCAGAGGTGGGTTTCAGCAGATCACATCATGCCCGGCTGTAAGCTGAGGGCATATACCAGTCTAGTAACTAATTTTTTTAATATAAACAATAATGAACTTCAATGGTTAGATGGCCTAGACACTGGCATCTGAATATGGATCTTTTTAATATTCATATTTTATTGTGTTTTACTAATCTAGATGAAATGTTAATATATACTGCTAATCCATGTATGATATGCCGTACACTAAATAAAAGAGGACTGCCTATAATAGAATAGAATAGAATAACAGAGTTGGAAGGGACCTTGGAGGTCTTCTAATCCAACCCCCTGCTTAGGCAGGAAACCCTACACTACTTCAGATAAATGGTTATCCAACATCTTCTTAAAAACTTCCAGTGTTGGAGCATTCACAACTTTTGGAGGCAAGTTGTTCCACTGATTAATTGTTCTTAAGTGTCAGGAAATTTCTCCTTAGTTCTAAGTTGCTTCTCTCCTTGATTAGTTTCCACCCATTGCTTCTTGTTCTACCCTCAGGTGCTTTGGAAAATAGCCTGACTCCCTCTTCTTTGTGGCAGCCCCTGAGATATTGGAACACTGCTATCATGTCTCCCCTAGTCCTCCTTTTCGTTAAACTAGACATACCCAGTTCCTGCAACCGTTCTTCGTATGTTTTAGCCTCAGGTCCCCTATAGCAAAAGCCATTGTTACATTGGTGCACGCAACCAATTCCTCTCCATGTTCATATCATCTTTTTGATGTCATTGTGTTTTGTATTATAAATATACTTTCTTTTCTCCGCAAGGCCTGGCACAATACAGTGGTGATCCCAGGATAGAATGGCATCTGAATTCCCACAACACAAAGGAGGCTGTCTTAGAAGCAGTGCGAAACCTCCCCTACAAGGGTGGAAATACCTTAACCGGTACGGAGTTGTATATGACCGCTTGAAATGGATTTTTTAAAAAAAGTATTTGCCATTTACCTGATTCATACTCTGTAAATAACGCAGATGCATCTTGCTTCCTTCCGTATTATATTTCTGATTCTTTTTTTTCCCCACTGGCCTTCAGGGTGCACAGTATTTAAAGGCTATCCTCTAGCACAGTTTAGGGAATATCATTAAAAGAACGGTATTCTTTATCATCAAGAGAAAAGAGGGAAGCAAGGTAACACAAACCTTGTTCTGATAAGACAAAGGGGAAGATTTATTGCAAATGGATTCCTTTGAATTATGCGAGAGGAATGCACTCCTAGGTGATTTATTGCAGTGTTATATTATTTATCTGAGAGAAACAGATAATGTGTGGCTGAGCAGAATACTCTGATTGAAGGACCTTTCCGTCCAGGGCCGAACTCTCGAGTTTAGCTATTCTTAAAAAAGAGAAAAAAAAAACAGAAAAAGGAGAGTTAACAGGTAGGGGTCTCTCAATGGGATGTAGGAGGTGGGAAGTAAGTTTAATAGTGTGGTGGGTGGGCAACTGTGTGACCCTTTTATGACCTATGGACCTATGGAATTCCTGAGATAACATGGCTGCTCAGGAATTTTGGGAGTTAAAGTCCACAGGTCATAAAGGTTGCCCACTTAGTTGTTAAGGCACTAGGTTGGAAAGTAGGAGAACTTGAGTTCAAGTCCTGCCTTAGCCATGAAAGCCAGCTGGGTCATGATGGGCCAGTCTCTCTCCCTCAGCCCAAGCCACTCACAGAATTGTTGTTGTGGGGAAAGTAAGAGGGGGAAGGTATCTTGGGCATGTTCATCACTTTGAGTTATTTGTAAAAATAATGAAGACAAGATATAAATTAAATAGTGGTCATGATTATACAATCAAGGCCTGCTCTATGTACCGGCACATTGATGATGGAATGGGGCAACTTGTCACTGCCAACTCGCCACAGCCATCTCGCTGCGGCCTAATCACCACGGCCATCTTGCTGCAGGACAATTCAACAATTCAATTTAATTATTTAAAATAATTTATAAAATATTTTGATTTTCGCCATTTACATTTCATTTTGTCCCTCCTTTCGCATCCTTTCTTTAATGATACTACTCCACCAATTCTTCAATATTAGTATAACTCTTGTCCCGTAGTGAGTGGGCTGTGGTGAGTTGTCCTAAAGCCCATGGATGAGGGGAAGGAGCCAGGGATGAAATCCAGCAGGTTCTAACAGGTTCTGGAGAACCAGTAGCGGAAATTTTGAGTAGTTCAGAGAACCGGCAAATATCACCTCTGGCTGGCCCCAGAGTGGGGTGGGAATGGAGATTATGCAATATCCTTCCCCCAGGAGTGGGGAGGGATGGGGATTTTGCAGTATCCTTCCCCTAGAGTGGGGTGGGAATGGAGATTTTGCAATATCCTTCCCCTGCCATGCCCACCAAACGATGCCCACAGAACCGGTAGAGAAAAATTTTGGATTTCACCCCTGGATGGAGCTTTGCTCACTCAATCATAAATGTCACTTTGGCTTTTGGGACATCCGCTCTCCCAACTGCTGATACACACAATAACAATCCTGCTGACAGAACAGATAACCACAAGCAACATGCAAGGGCATTCGGACACCAGCTATTCTCTAGTATGGGGCTACCCTTGAAGAGTATCTGGAAACCACAACTAGTACATTATGTGGGAATGCAAACAGTCTTGGGCATCTCTAGGATTGCACACGTAACATCTCTGTTATGTAAGCTACATCAGGTGCTGGTTTGCTTCTGGGTCTAATTCAGGGGTGGGCTTCAAAAATTTTAGCATGGGGTTCTCTGCCCGGTTGCTGGGTGGGCGTGGCCATGGTGGGCGTGGCCTAGTTGGCCTTCTGCATCACAGTGTGTGTATGGGGGGTGTTTTTGCCTTCCTTGGGTTCTGGAGGCTTTTTTCAAGCCTCCGGGAGGGCGAAAACAGCTTCCTCAGGCTCTGGAGGCCCTCTGGAGGCCGGAAACAGCCCCATTTCTGGCCTTCCCAAACTTCCGGTGGGCCCAATTTTGGCCCTCCCTGAGCCACTCTGAGTGGCCTGCACTTATCTGCATCCAAAACGGGCCACCTGGGGGCTCCTGGGAGGGGCAGGGTGGGGTGGGCAGGGCCAGCCAGGAGTGGGATTTGGGGGCTCTCCAAATTGCACAGAATTTTAGCTAGAGGTTTTCCCAAACCCCTGCAAACCCCCAGCAGGTCTAATTCCAGATGTCAGTTACCCCCTTTAAAGCCCTCTATGGCACGAGACCAATTTACCTGATGGACATCTCATCTCAATTCCATCATTCCATCCCACCTGGTCAAGTAGGAGGGTATGTTGCAGACCCCTGATGGCACAGTGATTAGAATGCAGTATTGCAGGCACTCTGCCCACAGCTTGGAATTCAATCCTGATGGAGCTCAAGGTTGACTCAGCCTTCCTACTTTCTGAAATCAGTAAAGTGAGGATCCAGATTGTTGGGGGCAATATGCTGACTATGTAAACTGCCCAGAGAGGGCTGTGAAGCCCACTCTATAGAGCAGGTATATAAGTCTAAGTGCTAAGTGTTATTACTAGCCCATTGGTTTAAGAATTTCAATTGGTGGGCTGCAGGAAGAGAGGCTTCTCTGCCATTGCTCCCAAACTTTGAACACCCTACCCCAGAGGTGAGGTGTTTCCAGGGTGGGCTGCTGGGGGTTTGCAGGGGTTCAGGAGAACCTCTAGCTAAGATTCTGTGCAGTTCGGAGAACCCCCAAATCCCACTCCTGGCTCGCCCCGCCCACCCCTCCCCCCCAGGAGTCCCACACACTGCCCATTTTGGATGCAGGTAAGTGCAGGGCGTTCGTGGAAGCTCAGGGAGGGTGAAAAATGGGCCTACTGGAAATTTGGGAGTGCCAGAAACGGGCCCATTTCCAGCCTCCAGAGGGCCTCCAGAGCCTGGGGAGGCCGTTTTTGCCCTTCCGGAGGCTCGAGGAAAACCTCCGGAGTATGGGGAGGGCAAAAATGACCCCCCCTGCCATGGTGCAGGAGCCGACTAGGCCACGCCCACCATGGCCACGCCCACCCACAACTGGGCAGAGAACCCTTACTAAAATTTTTGAAGCCCACCCCTGGGTGTTTCCTCCCCCCACTTTCATGGCCTTCAGAAAGAATGTTAAGACCTGGTACTGCCAATTGGTATTGGGGTCAAAGAATGATATGCCACCCTGGGGGTAATTGGTAGCATGCCTCTGCTGCTGTATCTTAATAGCCCAGTTTTTATTTTTATTTTTTTTTAATCTGTTTTAACTCTGTGTTTAATTTATGCTTTTATACCATGGTATGTTAATTTATTGTAAATAAGAATCACTTAGGTAAGATGAGTGGTGGAAAAATGTGATTAATAAATAAACAAATAAATAAATAAACAGTCCCCAGAAGCTGTAATTGAAGCAATCTGTCTTGCTTGCTATCTGAAAATTAGTTTCCCTACTGTGATGGTCATGGCCCTCTTTGAATGCCTGCTAATTAGAAACCAGATTATTTATTGCAGAAAAAGAATAATGTATGTTCAAGTAAAAACAAGCATCTACAGGTTTCTTTAGCTACCCTTAATTGCTCCCTCTCCCTGCCTTTGAGTTAATTGTGACTCCTCATGACTGCCTGGACAAGTCCTTGTAAAATTTCTTGGCAACATTTTGGGAAATGGTTTGCCCTTGCCTGCTTCTTAGGGCTGAGATTGAGGATTGGCTCAATATCTCCCAGCTGTCTTCATACCTAAGGCAGGACTACAAATCATGGTCTCTAGTTTATAGTCCAGCACCTTTAACAACAACAACATTAAATTGGTTCTTACCAATCGTGGGTTGCCCCCGGTTCGGACCGGTTCGCAAGAACCGGTAGTAAAACCGGCGGGAGACTCCGCCCATTGACCCAGTCATCATTAGAAGTGATCTGCGTGGGCACGATGCAAATCGGTAGTAAAGGTAAGTAGAACCCACCCTTGGTTCTTACATTTAACTGTAGTCTGTTTTTAAAACTAAGAAAGTCCGCTTGGGAATATAGTGGAAATATTGTTGTCCTGCCATTGTCCCCAGACTTCAGTTCCCCCAAACGCCTCAAGAGTACTCTGCATTTCCCCCTCTTCCTTTAATTTTAAAACACAGAGAACAGAAACCAAAAACCACTGCCTTGAACCAGAATCCACTGATTGGGTGTTGCAGAAATAGACATCCCCACCTCTCACTTCAAAATTAATATTTAAAATAAAATATTTGGATCCCCATTCCGTCAGCATCTTTACATTATATGCATTTGTCTGGTTGTATGAAAAAAAGTCCTCAAATCTCCCCAAACACTTGAATAATTTCAGTTGGGGAAAGGGTAGCTAAAACAACGTGAAGCCACCATTCCCCTTAAAGGACCTGAAGCCCAAAAGCCAGGACGTATGATGAAATAGAAAGACATGCAAATGGTATAATAGGATGCTCATAAGTTGTGCACACCCCCAGCCTTGAAAGACAAGAGTAGCTTTATGGTTGCTTTGCTGTAGCTGTCCCAGAAATAAATTCACTCAACTTTTGAACATAATCAACAGTATTGGCTTTATAGAGGCCCAGAGCTGATTTTGATCTGATGCAGAATCTTTTGGTAAAAGTGCCTTAAGCTTGTTTGCTACTCTCCGTATCACCTATTTCTGTCTGTAGACTTATATTGGGTCCTCCTAAACTTTAGGTTTCTAGAATACTTCTAGTCTTTTCCCCATAGAAAACTGCTGCTTCATGCATCCATGACACATACCCTCTGAGATCTGTTGGTATCATTTTCTCAGTCTTTGTTGAATATAATTCCATATTTATTCTTAAAAGAATTAAAAGGAGCTTCTTATCTGTTAACCAGGAGGAAGCAGTCTACCAACCATTATAACTAATAAAAGATAAGTCTTGCAGCCATAGCAATATAAATATCTTTGGTTAACCTTCTCCTTGGCCTTCTCTCTCCTTTCTTCTGTATGGACAGGTCTTGCCTTAACTTTTATTTTGGAAAACAACTTTAAGCCAGATGCAGGTTCAAGGCCTGGAGTCCCCAAAATTGGCATATTGATCACTGATGGGAAATCCCAAGATGATGTCATTCCACCTGCAAAAAACCTGAGAGATGCTGGGGTCGAACTCTTTGCCATAGGTATGTATTGCAGAAATACTCATTGAATTGAGATTCTAGAATGTGCCTACCGTAGTTCAATGCAGGATCTACAGTGTAAGATGTGTTTACAGAAGGAACCTATGATTCCCAGCTGTCTAAACTCAGCAGTAAAGTAGTTGAATTTTGGTGGGTGTGAGGCTATTTTAGGGGCCTAAGTAGAGATGTGCAGATTGTTTCAAAATCGAATGGTTTCAAAATAACAACAACAACATTATTGTCACTGTATGTGTATACACAGTATACCCATACAACAAAATTCACTTATCACCCAAAGACCAGGTCCAACACACATAACAATCCCCAAACACACTCCCATCCACCACAAATTCCCCGCCCCTAAACCACCCAAACATCCACACAACAGACCAAGTAATACTGTCCAACAGCTCACTGGCCCTTTAGTTCATGGTTGAGTGCAATTATAACTCTGGGATAAAAACTATTCAGAAAATGTGTGGTCCTAGTTTTAATTGTTCTGTATCTTCTGCCAGAAGGCAACAGCCCCAAAAGATTGTAAGCAGGATGGGAAGAGTCTCTGAGAATGTTGTGTAACTTCCTCAAACAGCAAGATTCGAAGATGTCATCCAGGGCTGGTAGCTGGAGCCCGATGATATTCTGGGCAGTTTTAATGATACTCTGTAGAGCATTTTTGTCCACTACAGAGCTGCTCCCATACCATACAAGAATGTTGTGTCAGGACACTCTTAATGGTGCTGTGATAGATGCTAGATAGATAGATAGAAGTAGATGCTGAGATAGATTTATCTTCCTGAGCATTCTCTTCTGTGCCTTCTTCACAAAATGATTGTTTCAAGTTTCGAACATGTGTTTTGATCATGAAACGGGACCGTTTTGAGTTTGGAATGGACTTGTGCCAAACAGAGCATCTGTTTTAATTTGAAATGGAGTGTTCCAAAGTTGAAACATAAGCTCCATTCCCAGCCACATCTTTAACTTTCACCAAATCTTGGAGAAGGGACCATTAAGCTACCCAAGACCTTTTTAGTGACATCACTTGCCTTGGGTTGGCTCCTTGTGTCCAGAAAGCTGAAGGTTGAGTCCTGACCATAAGAACCACAATGTTGCTAACATCAGTTGATAAGCATCTATCTTTTGCTGATATACCTCCAGAAAAAACACACACACACAGTTCGAAGGCAAGTTGTTCTCCTGAGCATATTGATCATTGATGAAGTGATGTCCACCGTAAACAATTCCTGTGTACATATTGACAACATTGTCCTCAGATTGGTTCATAAATCCATTAAAAAAAAAGCCATAGTAGATTAATTCACATACCACGCTAGATCATAAATGCTGGCTTATAATCACAATGGTTGTGATCGCACACTGCGCTTAACCAAAATCAAAGATTTGTTTACGATATCCAAGCCATGTTACTACTTTGTTGTTTCTTCCTTTGTTAACAGGTGTAAAGAATGCTGATGAAAATGAACTGAAGGAGATTGCTTCAGAACCACACAGCACTCACGTCTACAATGTTGCTGACTTCAGTTTAATGAACTCCATTGTGGAAGAACTTACAAAGACTGTGTGCATGAGAGTTGAAGAACAAGAGAAAGAAATCAAAGGTAAGAATAGCCAGGAGAAATGCTCTTTTTAAAGGACATATAACCAGGGGTGAAATCCAGCAGGTTCTGACAGGTTCTGGAGAACCGGTAGCAGAAATTTTGAGTAGTTTGGAGAACTGGGAAATACCACCTCTGGCTGGCCCCAGAGTGGGGTGGGAATGGAAATTTTGCAGTATCCTTCCCACAGGAGTGGAGAAGGAATGGGAATTTTGCAGTATCCTTCCCCTGGAGTGGGGTGGGAAAGGAGATTTTGCAGTATCCTTTCCCTGCCATGCCCACCAAGCCACACCCACCAAAACAAACCATGCCCACCAAACCACGCCCACAGAACCGGTAGTAAAAAAATGTGGATTTCACCACTGCATATAATGAATGGTGTTAGGTCAGGCTAATAGCATATCTCATTCAGCTTTCTCTTGCTACATGGCCAACATATTATGTCATAGTGACTAGCAGCCATTATCTTCTTCATGAATAATTCTTGAATGTGAACATGGTAGCCATCAGTACATCTCATTCGAACAAATTTTATGTGCTGGGGAAAAAAACGTCTTCCACTTCATTTTTCCAAAATTTGTTTCTTCTGAGTTTTTATGAAGTTGTCTGCTGATAGATTGTCTACAAGATCTAGAAAAGTTAAGAATTGAACAAGATGATCATTTTGGGGTGGCTGAAATAATTGTTTCTCTGATTTCTAGGTATGTTTAGTCTAACTAACTAGGCATAATTAGACATAACTAGGGCAGGAGTGGGTTCTACTTACCTTTACTACTGGTTTGCATGCACAGTTCAGCCATGGGGATGTCTGGACAGGTGGGCGGAGCCTCCCACTGCTTTTACTACAGTTCACAAGAACCGGACCAAACCGGGAGCAACCCACCCATTTGCCGACCGGGAGCAACAGCCCATTTGCCGACTTCTGGTGGGACCGGAAGGCCCGAAAATCAGTTGGCTGATGCACGCATGTGCGCCAGAGCTGAGCTCGCGGGCCCACTGATATGGCTCCGCGTGCCACCTGTGGCACACGTGCCATAGGTTCGCCATCATGGCTATAAGGACTCATGCTTTGGGCAAGGGGTTGGACTAAATGATCTCCAAGGTCCCTTCCATGATCCCCATAGTTCTATATTCTGTGTCTAAAACTTTAGGATCATTGGTTGCCACACTTGGAGCCCCTACAGATTTGGTCACATCTGAAGTGACAGCCAGAGGATTCCATGTGAGTTGGACTCATGCACCAGGCAAAGTGGAAAAGTACCGAGTTGTCTATTATCCCACCAAAGGAGGACAACCAGAAGAGGTAATGAAGTAACAGTCACTGTTTGTCCTGAGGGCAAGACAAAAATAATGGGTGGAAGCCTGTCAAAGAAAGATGCAACCTCTAGAAGTAAGGAAAAATTGTTTGACAGTGTGAGCAATTAACCAATGGAACAGCGTGCGTCTTGGAGATGTAAGTGCTCCATCACTGGAGGATTTCAATGAAAGATTGGAGATCCATTTAACTGGGATGGTGTAAAAGTCCTAACTTGAGCAGGGGGTTGGACTAGAAGACCTCTGAAATTCCTTCCAACCGTATGACTTTATAATTCTATGAAACTATAAAGGTAAAGGTAAATGTTCCCCTTGCACATATGTGCTAGTCGTTCCTGACTCTGGGGGGCGGTGCTCATCTCCGTTTCAAAGCCGAAGAGCCAGCACTGTCCAAAGACGTCTCCGTGGTCATGTGGCCGGCATGACTAAATGCCAAAGGCGCACGGAACGCTGTTACTTTCCCACCAAAGGTGGTCCCTATTTTTCTACTTGCATTTTTTTACGTGCTTTCGAACTGCTAGGTTGGCAGAAGCTGGGACAAGTAACGGGAGCTCACCCCAGTACGCGGCACTAGGGATTCGAACCGTTGAACTGCTGACCTTTCGATCAACAAGCTCAGCGTCTTAGCCACTGAGCCACCGCATTCCTTCTATATATATATATAGTTTATAGAAATATTTAGAAACTATAGGATCCCATAATTGTGTTAAGCAAAATACATTAATAATCAGTATTAGAAGTAGTGACCAATTACTCCTGCACCTCTCTAATCCATGTTCAATTTTTACTTTGGGAATTGAATTACAACCTGTTTTCAGATAAAAGGAGAAAGTCTGCTTTGTGGTCATCTTAAAACTCTGTTTAAATGTGTCTTGTCTTTCGTACAGGTGGTGGTAGATGGGACAGTATCAACAGCATTACTGAAAAATTTGATGTCTTTAACTGAGTATCAGATTGCTGTGTTTGCCATCTATGTTAGTTCTGCCAGTGAAGGTCTCCGGGGTACTGAGACAACACGTAAGTGACAAAAAAAGGAACATGGCAGTAATTTAAGTTTATGTTAGAACTATCTAAATTTGCATTGTAAGTGTACTGTATATCTGCTGATTCTAGATATAAACCTACCCCTGATAAAAACCTGTTGGACTTGGGAAGAAAAAGTCCATTTAACAATATTCTGTGTTGAATAGTTTTCGCCCAAAACTGGAAAAACAATGACATACCATCAGAAGACAAGGTGATTAGAAAAATTATGGAATGTGCAGAAATGGATAAGCTCACAAAGGAGATACAAGAAAAAGATGAAACAGAATACTACTTTATCTGGGAGAAATGGTATAAATGGTTGGAGGAGAAAGGGGAAAAAGAAAAAAAAAGGGGGGGGACAAAAGAAAACTAAACAATGGTTAAATTAGGTGGAGAAATATGGAAACAAATGGGAAGATATAAATTGTGGAAAGGAAACTAAGTACCTGTTTATGTTAATTGTAAATAAAATATTTAGATTAAGAGAATATATACAGGTGAAACTCGAAAAATTAGAATATCGTGCAAAAGTTCATTTATTTCAGTAATGCAACTTAAAAGGTGAAACTAATATATGAGATAGACTCATTACATGCAAAGCGAGATAGTTCAAGCCTTGATTTGTCATAATTTTGATGATTATGGCTTACAGCTCATGATATACTAGGAATATATGTATAAGAGATAGATTAAGATAAGAAAGAGAAAATGTATAAATATAGATTACTGATGCGAAGATGTTGAAAAGAACATTTGTTTGTTTTTGTTTGTAGGCTTGTTGGTTTGTTGGTTTGTTCGTATTAAAAAACAACAATATTCTGTGTTGATTTTTGGCTGGAATCAGAACACCTAGAAAATGGGGGGCTTAATCCTTCCCTTCTCAGCCATGATCTATTTAAAAATAACTCTTCCTTCTGCCTTAGCTGCTATCAGCATCAATGGGAACCTTTTCCTCCTAAGTCAATAAGAAAAGCAGGAGGATTTTCCAAGGGATCGCTGATGTACTAGGAAAAATTCAATTTTAACCCTCCCTAGGAAAAACTAACCCTGTACTAGGAAAAACTCAATTTTAACCTTTAATTCAAGTCCTGTCCAGATGTGGTGAGCTGGTAGGGTTTGCCATCAAGCCAATGCACATAAAAATGCGGTTCTGATTTCAGGATAGGTTCTGCCATTTACTTCCATGGATCAAGAGGTCCTCTTGACATCCATACTTCAAAATGACCTCTTTCCTTTAAGGTCAGCCTTTTCCTGCTTCTATTTTGGTAGAACTTGCCAGCAGTTCTTGTTGCAAGTTGTGGTGATAAAGGCAGAACAGCAGGCCATTTGATAAGAGTCTTCACTCCTCACTCAGTATTGCTGAATCTGGGATGTGTCTGAATAAGCTTGACAGCAACTTAGCTGCTGTTTTCCTATTTGGCGTCAGCTATCCTATCAGACACAAGAAATCAGGAACCAGGGTTGTTGAAATGAGTACAAGTTTATTCTGTGCATCTTCTAAACAAGAATCTGAACTACTAATGGTCAAGGCAAATTGGCGATAGGTAAGAGTCAATGGAATTCAAGCTGAGCTGGACTTACCATATTTTTCGGAGTATAAGACGCACCTTAGTTTTTGGGGAGGAAAATAAGAAAAAGCTGATTGGCAGGTGGATCGGCCTCCTGGAATACCCCCAATAGCTGTTCCCAGAGGTAAATTTTAGCAACAGGTTCCTTGGTTGTGAGCGCTGTGTCTTGCTTTTTTTTTACTTTTTTTCCTGCCTCTGAAAGCCTCCGAAACAGCTTCAGAAAAAAAGCCTCCGAAGCCCTGTTTGGGGGCTTTTTTTCTGAAGCTCTGTTTGGGGGCTTCTTTTCTGAAGCTTCATTTCTCATGCTTTTTTCAGCCTCCGAAACCTCTGTTTGAGAAACTGGGTGGGGCTACATTCGTAGTATAAGACACACCCAAATTTTCATCCTTTTGGGGGGGGAAGGTGCATCTTATACTCTGAAAAATACGGTACTTACCATCGTGTAGAGAATAAAGAACCTGTTACCTACCATAAGGAAGGCTGAGCACCAAAGAATTGAGGCCTTTGAACTATGTGGTGCTGGAGAAAACTCCTGCGAGTCCCTTGGACTGCAAGATGATCAAACCGGTCAGTCCTAGAGGAGATCAACCTTGACTGCTCTTTAGAAGGCCAGATCCTGAACATGAAACTCAAATATTTTGGCCACCTTTTGAGAAGGAAGGACTCATTGGAGAAGAGCCTAATGCTGGGAATGATTGAGGGCAAAAGAAGAAGGGGATGACAGAGAATGAGGTGGCTGGATGGAGTCACTGAAGCAGTAGGCGTGAGCTTAAATGGACTCCAGAGGATGGTAGAGGACAGGAAGGCCTGGAGGAACATTGTCCATGGGGTCGCGATGGGTTGGATATGACTTCGCAACTAACAACAACACCTAAGCAAAATAGGCTGAAACGGTTTTTTTTAAGTCCAGAGCAACGTGATAACGTTTGGAAGTGGCTCAGGCAGAGAAGCCTCCCTAATTCTCAGAAGTATAAGGAGGAGGAGGAGAATCAGACTGTTATTATTAGACAATCTCAATCAATGGTTTAGCCATTTTTGGAATTGGTTTCCAGGTCCTGTCTACCTAGGGGTGATGACCCATTATGGCCTCATTTTCTGAGCAAACTTGGGTGGGGTTGCATTGTAGAAGAAAAAAGTCTAGCCTAGCATTTGATCGATCGGAGGTGGTTAGGAATTGGTTAATGATGAACTCCATGGTCCAAAGCACATACTGTCCCAGTAGCATCATTTCCCATGGCACCTGGTGCTCTTTTGAAGTCAAGTTTTGACTCGGTCCAGCTGTACGTGCTTCTGATTCCACTACTGCCTAAGGCAGCACCTCTCCAAGCAGAGTTTTTATTTAATCTTTACTCAAGTGTCATAAAGCAATGCTCTGAAATAAGTAAATATTAATCACTCCAAGTAACATTTCAAAAGGAAAAAAAATGATGCTGTCACGGAGAGAGGATGGGAAAATATACTATATTTGACCTTGCTGGCAGATAATAGCAAATGAAAATGAAAAGATCGTGGATTCAGGCATGACGTGTAGTTTTGAGAGAATGCAGCCGTTAGCAGCTGAAGTAAATACACGGAAGCCTTGGGTGTGAGAAACAGGGAAAAGGATAAAGCTAAAGGCATTTTTGGTCAGAATTCAGAGAATGGGGGTCAATAAGATCTCCAAAATAGCCCCCTTCCTTTTGTTTACAGTGTGCCTGAGTTCTGCAGAATGAATCCATTTCAACAGAGGTAACACACCCATATTGTCATTGTCCATTGATTCGCAGAATATCTCTGTACAAATTCACTTCCATCCTCATGACGTTCAGGAAGCTATTAGAAACCTGGCTATTCTCCCAGGGTCTCGGGTATCAGCCCTCCCAAGTCAATTAGACAGGAAACACAACTAGAAACATGACTAGATGAACTAAATCTACTTTATTGTTAAGGGCATGTTAATAGAGTCTTGCAAATCTGAAGGTACAATCTTCCTATCATCAATCTGAACCATCCGATCAATTTTAGGGCATGTCCTTCCTAAGTTTCTTCCTTTGATAGCTAAGTCCTTGAGGTCTTCCCCTTCTTTTTGTCTGACTGTTTCCTAGGCAGTGTCTCTTTCTCTTGTCCCCCAAGGTCATTCATACGTTCTATTACACCAGGGGAGAGTGAAGGTCACTAAATTCAAGGTGCCGCTATTATTTTATAAAGCTGTACAAGGCTTGGCTTTGGCTTTATAACATTGAGATCAGGGGTGAAATGCTAGTGGTTCAGACCGGTTTGGGCGAACTGATAGTAAAAAATGCTACCAGTTTGGGCGAACCGGTATTTCTGACAATCAGCTGGGCAACGATCAGCTGTAATGCACTATTTATATTAGCTAGAATTGTCGGATTTCCTGCTTTCTAGCTAATCTAAATCGCATGGCACAGCGGATCCCCCCCCCTCACTGTTCTACTTACCTTTGCAGACTCGGAAGGCTTCAAAATGTTCCTTTTTTGTGCTGTGCGGTCGCATCTTAGGCAGACTCACAGAACCGCTGTGCGTGTGCTCGGTAGCAGACTCACAGATCCGATAGCAGACTTTGGAGGATTTCACTCCTGATTGAGATCTAAGTAGCTAACACCTCACAGATTTGCTATCTATGTTGATTTCAGTCACATCCCAGACAGAGGAGGAGAAGGAGGAGAAGGATTGGTTTAATTCTCCATTTTATGTTTTGGAAATAGTCATCCCCAGTCTTTGAGAGTGGCTGTGCAGGTTAACAAGAGTTGTAATTTTATTTATTGCAGTTGAGCAATTATCTAGCTATCCAAAATGACCAAATGAGATTGCAGAATCAACCTGTTTACATATTTTGAAAAGAACTCTTTTTTATTAGTTGCAAGAACTTCTGTTAGAAAAAAGAATTCAAAGATTTATTGCTCAGACCATACAAAACAATACTGAGTTTAAAACCATTTTGGTTGTTTCTGTTTTTGTAAGCCTTCCCAGCGCCTTCCTTTGAAAAAAAAAAATAGGCGGTAACTCTCTTTTGTATTTTTCCCTCTGCAGTTGCATTGCCAATGGCATCTGATTTGGAGTTGTATGATGTCTCGCACAACAATATGAAAGTAAAGTGGAAGGCAGTAGCTGGTGCAACTGGCTATATGATTCTGTATGCACCCCTCATTGATGGTTTAGCAGCAGAGGAAAAGGAGGTGAGAGAACATAGTATCAACTAGGTCTTATGAACCTTCAAAGAGTGGGCTGAAAACCTAATGTGCAGAAGTCTCTATTTTCAGTTGAATTAATTATCCCCGTGGAAGTATAGACACCACACCACTGGAGTGCCATAGGCCTCTGTCCTGTTGAAGATTTTTGTTACTGGCCTGGATGAAGGATTTGAGGGTTATGAGGATCACATTTGTAGAGTATCCAAAACTATGAAGAGTTATAAATATTTTAGAAGAGAGAGAGAAAGAGGGAGGGAGGGAGGGAGGGAGGGAGGGAGGGAGGGAGAGAGAGAGAGAGAGAGAGAGAGAAGATAAAGATCCAAAAAGTCTTGTAAAACTCTTTTCATTCATTACATTTGCTAAAGATCTTACGTTATATGAGATTGTTGGGTTGGGTCCCATACTCCACTCAAACCAAGAAGATTGAGTTGGACTGCGGAATGTATAGGCTCTTCACCATTAAACATGGATTTTTTTTTTTTTTAATTTGATTTATATGCTGCCCTTCTCCGGAGACTCAGAGCGGCTTACAATGCATTAAGCAATAGCCTTCATACTTTTGTATATTTATACAAAGTCATCTTATTGCCCACACAAACTGGGTCCTCATTTAACCTACCTTAGAAAGGATGGAAGGCTGAGTCAACCTTGAGCCTGATAAGATTCGAACCTGCAGAAATTGCAGGCAGCTGTGTTAATAACAGGGTGCATTAAACCACTGTATTACCAAGGCTCGTTCCCAATACAGACCCAATTCAGAGACTATTCTAAGAGCGCAGAGGAAAATAAGTTTATTTTCTTTTGAAGAGCCTACAGTATACAGTATGTTCCACAGTCTAACTCAATCTTCTTGGTTTGAATGGATTATGGGACCCAACCCAACCCAACCCAATCCAACCCAACCCAACTATCTCATGTAACATAATGAGTAGTTGCCCCAGTATTTTCCCCAGACAGTGGGTCATCTCTCATGCCAAGACTATCACCATCTGATGAAGGAGTTTACCCAGGATTTGGGTTAATGAATAGTGGCACTTGGGAAGAAACAGTGAAACAATTAATTGGAGAGATGCAGGAGTCACAACCAGTTGGGGATTGGTAGAAACTTAGAACCCTTGTGGTTGGCTTGATATTGAATTAGGTCAGGTTTAGAGATTAGTGATGAATCAAAGATCACTCTATGAACACCACTGCAGTGTCTTCTACTCTGAATCCAAGTGTCCCCATTGGTTCTACATAATGTTATGCCTTTTTGATAGCTACTAATAACTTACGAAATGGAAGGTGATCTATAAAAATTGGCCTATCATATCAATAGTACTCCATTGAGGTAAATGCAATTTTATTTTTCTGCTAAATACTTTCCTCTCACTTTTTTCAAAACCAAGCAGACAAAAAAAAAAAAAATCTCAGGAAGTTTAATTGACTCAAAGTCAGGAAGCTATTATTTGCTTATGAGTTTCTTGCCAAGATATATTTTATAAAAGGCTGATACAGACTTCAAGATGGACATAAGAGCCAATTTCAATGTTTTTTTTTCCCCTAAAGGTTTTAAATTTTTCTCACTTGCTCTTTTCTATGAATATACACTCAAGTCCACAGCACTGAATGTGATTTTAAAAAAGAAAAGTTCTGTATTAAGATGCATTTTGCTGCCTATCTCTTCAAACCTGGACATTTTTGCTTGGGATTTAGCCTCGTTTACCATTTTTGCAAATTAGTTTACCTTATTTGCTGCATTTTTGTTCAAAACGTGTATGAGATTTTAAACAGAGTTTTAACTAATAGAGATTTTTAAAATATTGTCAAACTGCAATGTACCATTCTGAGAAATGTAATTTGGAATGACACTTCGCTTCAAGTGTGGAATATAATACGTTTGCATGCAGAAAATTTGTCAAACATTACTAAGTAAAATTAAAATAAGTTTTGCCTAAGGTGTGGATAGAAATTGTGTTTAGTATGAACTGGCTAAAAAGTCAGCCAGATTGAACAATGGACTCATCTCTTGATTTCTAGTTTGAAATTATGTTCATACTTGTTCATGTGGGAGAATTTTTAATAGCATTAAAAAGGCATGTAAGATTCTAGAAGAGAATCAAGAAACTACTGAATATATAAACATGTTCGGTTTTTTATAAGTTATATAGCATATGTTTCTCACAGAAAATTAATTGAAATAAAAAAATCTTAGGTCAAAAGACTTCACATTTCAAGTAAATCTAATCAACGTACTATTCAATATATTTATAAATGATTTGAAGAGTTAGAGCTTCAACTTCATAAGAATCTATTGACTTGCTACTGTTGTGTCATTCTGAAGTTTCTTTAATAGGCGCTCTACAGATAACATGTACAGTAAAGGTGATAAAAGTCAATTGTATCTTTTCTTTTTATAGATCTGAAACTTTTCTGACACAAAATTATTAACAATAATTAATAATAGTAAAAGTGACATTCACAGTATTATATCTTTTAAGGATGTTATGGAGAAGATTATATGAAAGTACAAAGGGACTTGTGTCATTCTGGCAATCCCAGTTCTACATTTCTGTCTTTTGGGATACGTTTCAGTTGGTTTTTGATATTCTAGGATTTCTCACAAATTGGACAGCTGCCCATCAAGCCATTATAGGGCTAATTTGTGCAAATGATCCTCAGGCAGGACATAGTGGTATGAATCAATCCCTTGTTAATATCACAAATCCTGTTTTTCTTACTTTGACAGAAATTATTCTCTCTCCTGAAAAAGTTCTTTATCTTCTACTTATGCATGCTACTATTTCATATTATTTATAATGAACTCACATTAAAATACTGCATTTTAACCACTGTGGTAGTGTAGTGGTTAGAATGCAGTATTGCAGGCTAACTCTGCTCACAGCCAGGAGTTCGATCCTGACTAATTTAAGGATGACTCAGCCTTCCATCCTTCTGAGGTCGATACAATGAGGACCCAGATTGTTGGGGGCACTGTGCTGAGATTGTAAACCGCTCAGAGAGTGTTGTAAAGCACTATGGAGTGATATATAAGTCTAAGTGTTGTTGTTATTGCTATTTTTTATAGATGAAAATTGGAGTGACCTCCACACATGTTGAACTTGAGGGTCTGCTACCCAACACAGATTATACGGTCACTGTTTATGCAATGTTTGGAGAAGAAGCCAGTGATCCTCTTACAGGACAAGAAACAACATGTAAGTGGTTTTTATGTGTTTCTATTTGTCCCAGGAGTAAATTCTGGAAAAGCTTTCTGAGACTGAAAAATAATGCCTTTAAACTTTAGTAGAATGGTAATCCCTAGAGGCATCCTTTAGGACAGCAACATGAACAGCAACTTCACTTTGTGATGTTTGTGAAGAGCAGCTTCACTTTGTGAGAGCTCAGTGGCTCAGCAGTTAAAGACACTGAGCTTGTCAGATGAAGAACTGACCACCCAGGTTCAAGACCCAAGCGCCACTCAATGGGGTGAGCTGCCATTACCTGCCTCAGCTCCTGCTCACCTAGCAGTTTGAAAGCATGCAAATGCGAGCAGATAAATAGGTACCAATTCAGAGGGAAGGTAATGGCATTCCATGCACCTTTGAAATATAGCCATGCTGGCCACATGATCATGGAAATTGTCTTCAGACAATGCTGGCTCCCTTGTCTAAGAAACAGAGATAAACACACTGTGGGATTCAGGTAATTTAACAACCGGTTCTCTGCCCTAATGATTTCTTCCAACAACCAGTTCGCCAAACTGCTCAGAAAGTTAACAACCGGTTCTCCCAAAGTGGTGTGAACTGGCTGAATCCCACCACTGGATAAACACCGTACCTTAGAATCAGACACAACTCCTTTTTAGAATACTAGAGGCATTGTTTAGGAAGAAACATGAAGAGCAACCTTTAGTATGGTGCCTATGATTTCCTTCAACAGCTTGTTACTATCTGATTATTATCATGTAGAGAAAGTGACTTCAGTGGACTATTCTTGCTTACAGTTTTGAAGTACCAACAATAGCTTTTTAAGTTTCTTGAAGTTTATGTTCCTTTAAAATACCTTCTTTGTTTCCCACCTAAAATACTGTAGATGTGAGATAACATCTATTTTAATTCCATTGAATTTTAACTGCAGCCTGTTTTTTACATCCCAATCTTTAATGTTTTAAAGTTTAATGTTAATTTCCATATTGTGATACCTTCAAGAGCTGTTAGATTCCAGATTCTAGAATTCTTAGAACTGAGTGAGAATTCTGGAGGTGAAGCCTAAAACAAGATGGGTATGATTTCTCTAAAATATGTATACTCATAGCAACTCTTCATGCTTTGCTGAATTCCAGTGGAAAAAAATTGCTGTATTATCTTTTCAGTGGAGTTGGTTTTTTTGTTTTTTTTTTTGGCTATAATGCTACGAAAGGATCCAAACTTTCCATATTAAAATAGTTCATAGTTTAAGCATACATCATGTGTTCAAATGTTAGTACCACTTTTAAAAAATAATTTATAACAGCTTTGGAAAACTGTTTTTGAGAGTTATTTGAGTTTTTCCATATTGGCTAGGTTTCCTTTAATTGGAATGGTCGTGCACTCACTGTTTCCCCACACGTAGATGCATATTGTGAGAACTGAGGTGCATATTTGTCTTGTAAAGAACTGAATGTATGAATCTAATAGAAGTTAAATTCTAGTCCAGGAAACATGATATCTGCAGATAGTTTTTTTTTATTCCTAGATGGTTTTTTATCTCTGACCCTGAAATGTTTTGTGACATCTGGGATAGGAGAACTTGCCTTTTGATGTTTATTAATGTAAATTGGGATATTGAATTGGCCACCAAATTGATCTTGAATGGAAATAGAAATAGTGTTGTAGGAAGTTAGCACCCACCCCTTTCCTAGAGGAATAAAATATTTTTTGGGAAGTATTAAAAAGGCAGAATATTATATTTCCCTGGATGAGAAATGGATAAGCATGTTTTGAAGCAGCTCCCATCTTCCTGCCCCCACCCTTTGTCAATGGGCCATTAAGGCCTGGGCCAGTCTATTCTACATAACAAAGATCTACCTCCTTCAGGCAGAGCCATAGTAGGAATTGCCAAAGATCCAACAAAGATAGGATTAGCCCTCTACACAATAGCAGCAGAAACTCACCACATGTGACCTGGGAAGCATGTGACCTGGGAAGCACATGTGACCATCAGCCAGCAAGGCTAGCTAAGACCCCCACCTTCTGGGAGTCTGACAACCAATCAGGATTCTGTTTCAGGGCCCCAAGAAATGCAAAGTCAGAGAGGGCATAAAAACCTGAGGATTTACTGTATCTGCCCCTTTTCTGTTCAGGAACTCAAGCCATGTGATCATTGTCCACCATTAAACCATCTTTCCAAGCAGTCTCCATGTTTCCAGTGTCTTTTTCCCCACTTGGAGCAGAACCAAGAAGGATATTTCTTCCAACAGTGTTGAATGGAGAAGGAGGATAGATTTTGAATGGATTTCAGCCTCCTGAAAGAAAAAAAAAAAAAGCACGAGTAGGAATTGAGCCTCCCCATTGCTATTTCATGGAAAGCAGGATATGGGGAAATTTGGAAGGATTTGAGATAATCCAATGTAGGAACAAATTGGGGATGGAGAATAAGATAAAAGGATATAGACTTGTTCCAAGTAGAATTCTTAAAATATCTACAAAGTTCTCAATGTTTCTGAGTGAATAAGAGAATAACAGAGTTGGAAGGGACCTTGGAGGTCTTCTAGTCCAACTCCCTGCTCAGGAAACCTGCTGTTCCACTGTTCAGGAAACCCTATACCATTTCAGAAAAATGGTTGTCCAATCTCTTCTTAAAAACTTCCAGTGTTGGAGCATTCACAACTTCTGGAATTCACAACTTCTGGAGGAAGTTGTTCCACTGATTAATTGTGTGTGTGTGTGTGTGTGTGTGTGTGTGTGTGTGTGTGTGTGTGTCTATCTCAGCCTCTCCCCAAGTCGTGCCTTTGTAGATGTGTTTCTTAGAATTACCCAACAGTAGCAGAATTTAGAAGTCTGAATCTTGGAGACCAAAACCTTTGAAAGGTACTCGGAAGCCAAAAGCAGATAAACTTCAGAGTAAACAGGAGTACAACACAGGGTAAAAAGGAATATCAGAACACATATTGTATTTCACAAATTCCATATGCACCACAGCAAAAACGTTCAGCTTTCACTACCAGAATATTATAGGAGATGAATTCTAACACTGAAATTATTATTATTTTTTCAATGGATTTCTGCTGAGCCTAATTCATCCTAATTTCAACAAGTTCACTATAAAGGGGGTTCAGTTTGCTGTAAAGTCTAGCATATTTACACAAACCATATAACTCAAAATCCCACCAGTATCCATACGGTGTGAACTTTCTTGGGTGCGGACTCTGCATTGAACATGACCAGAGTTTGTATCAGACCCATAGTGTTGCATGGAGATTAATGTCATCTGGAAGCCATATATCACAATAGGTCAACTGACCGAAAAACAAATATATTATTTATAACATGGATTCATTTCTATTTTCAAGTGCCTTTAAGTCCGCCAAGAAATTTGAAGTTTTCAAATGTGGATCACAGCTCAGCCAAAATAACCTGGGATCCAGCTTCCCCAGAGGTCAAAGGCTATCGCATTATGTACGTTAAGACAGATGGGACTGAAACCAATGAGGTAAGTAGATTTTTTAAAAAATAAATAGGAACAACCTAAAAACAGAACTATTATGTAAAACCAATATCCCACCCCCCCCCAGTCTGCCAATAACTCATATAATGGCAGTTAGATTAACTTCTTTGGTTAAGAACAGTTATCAAAATGAGGTAAACAGGTCCATCTCAAAGGTTTGAGAAAGCATTTCTGGCTTCCTTTTCAATGAAATTTGAACTCCCTATGTAAATCAGGGGTGAAATCCAGAAGGTTCTGACAGATTCTGGAGAACTGGTAGCAGAAATTTTGAGCAGTTCGGAGAACCGGTAGCAGAAATTTTGAGCAGTTCGGAGAACCGGCAAATACCATCTCTGGCTGGCCTCAGAGTGGGGTGGGAATGGAGATTTTTCAGTATCCTTCCCTCAGGAGTGGGGTGGGTATGGAGGTTTTGCAGTATCCTTCCCCTGCCACGCCCACCAAGCCATGCCCACCAAGCCACACCACACCCACCAAGCCACGCCCACAGAACCGGTAGTAAAAAAAATTGGATTTCACCACTGATATAAATACATTGTTTCTGTTATATTTTGAATATGGCTCATTTAAAAAGCCTCTTCTTTATTCAAGCCATTAGTTTCCCACCTCCCATTTTTCATATTCTCTTACCCAGCAATGGCACAGTGAAGTAATTTTGTGCTTTGCAATCAACCGTCATGTAGGATGTGAGGTGCTTTCCTTTAAATATTTTTTTTTTTATTCAATGTAAATTATATAATATGCTAAGAAAAAAAAAGGTAGCCTTCTTCAAATGAAACTTGACCTACTGATGTCTAAATGGACATGTCCATGTTTTTTCTCAGCATATAAAGAATTAGTTTGTTCTTGCCTTCTGGGATTATGGCTGGCTGGCTGGCTGGCTGGCTGGCTGGATGGACAGATAGAAATAGTGATAGAGCTTCAGCTGATGAGAGGGAAAAATATGCATTCGCTGTTTTTTTAGGGTGAAATCTCTGAAATATTTATAATGGACAGACCAGAATGGAGATCTTACTGCCTTGGTCCAATGGCCCCAAGCCTGGTATCCTAGACTCCCTAGTTCAGCGGTGTCAAACTCAAGGCCCATGGACTAGATCCGGCTCATGGGGTGCGTAGACCTGCCCTAGAAACAGTGAAGGAATGACCCATGGCGCCTCTGCCAGCGAAAACAGAGCTCGTGGGGACTGTGCATGGCCCCCCTGAGCTCTGTTTTCTCTGGCAGAGGGTTGCAAGAGGCTGTCCCAGCCAAAAACAGAGCGCTCTGCCATTTTCGCTGGCAGAGAGCTCGGGCCACCACAGGTGCCCCCTGACACAAGTGATGTCAAGGCGCCCCCCCTTGGGGGGGTGTCAAACATAACCCTGATGCGGCCTTCAATGAAATTGAGTTTGACACCCTTGCTCTAGTTCAGTGTTGCTCAACCTTGTCAACTTTATGATAGGTGGACTTCAAGGCTGGTTGGGGAATTCTGGGAGTTGAAGTCCACACATCCTTAGGTTGCTGTGGCTGAACAACACTTACTACCCAAGGCAGTCCTCACTGCTGTCAATTCTGAGAACACTCCATCCGTGCAAACCCCTCATCCCAAGCTGATATAGATCTACATCTTTTTCAATAAGGATTTCTTTATAATCCTTGGCACGCATCCCTCCATTCCCTGCTTGTCTGGCTCTCTCCTTCTTCTGGCAAGAAATTGGCTGAGGCTTTCCAGAATTTCGACATGACACAGCTTGTAAAGAATCTTTGTATGTAACAAGATGCAACAGGCTTTGCTGCCCCTGTTTCTAGACCCTTGTGAGTTTCAACGCGATGCCTTTTCCTCTGGCCATTCTGACGGTGTAACAAGAGGCCCGCTTTATGCTTCCGATGCTTTGTACTAGGTATGAGCATTTCTGTTTTTGGAAAGATGGCTTTCTTAAAAAAAAAAGAAAAGCTAGATTTCTTTCTAGCTCTCAACCTACCCTGTTTTCCCCAAAATAAGACATCCCCTGATAATTTATTTATTTATTTATTTATTTATTTATTTATTTATTTATTTATTTATTAAATTTATATACCGCCCTATTCCTGAGGGACTCAGGGCGGTGAACAGCGAACGATAAAAATACATGTAATACAAACGTTAAAAAAAAAAACCAATTAAAATATACTAAACACTCTGGTCCTAGATAATTCAAGACATCCCAGTTTAAAATCAAATCAAAAGCAATATAAAGGGAAAGTTAGGCCAGGCCGGCCTGCTGAAACAGGAATGTTTTGAGGGCACGGCGGAAAGTGCACAGATCCGGAATCTTCTGTATCTCTGGGGGGAGCTCGTTCCAGATGGTGGGTGCCCTCACAGAAAAGGCTCTCCCCGATAATAAGCCCAATCGGGCTTTTGAGCGCATGGCAATAAGGCCAAGCACTTATTTCAGGGTTCAAAGAGATATAAGACAGGGTCTTATTTTCGGGGAAACATGGTATCTTCATCTCTAATAACTGAAGCAGCTGGTTCTCCCAGCCTACGTGAAGCAGGAAATTTAACTAGAATAGAATAGAATAGAATAGAATAGAATAGAATAGAATAGAATAACAGAGTTGGAAGGGAACTTGGAGGTCTTCTAGTCCAACCCCCTGCCCAGGCAGGAAAACCTACACCACTTCAGATAAATGGTTATCCAACATCTTCTTAAAAATTTCCAGTGTTGGAGCATTATTAATTGTTCTAACTGTCAGGAAAACTAGAAAGTCTTAAAATTGCAAGCTTGGGGCCACTGGACCAGGGGAATAAGATCTCCATCTGGCCTGTCCAGAACATTATAACATGGATGTCACCCTCAAGAAACAACCAATGCATATTTTTTCCCCAGAGTCCATTTTAACTTGCAGCCATTTTTTCCCCCTCCCATCAGCTGAAGCTGATAGGTAGGATAACCCACTTTAAAGAAAATTGAGGAACAGCTGTTTGGCTCATAAACAGATATATTCCTTTGGGGCACTTTTAAAACAAAACAAAAATAACAAACATATGTCCTGGAGTTGTTCTGTTTATTTTTTTTCCCTCAGTTCATTAGGCTGACTGATGGTCTCTGACATCATGGTCCTGTTTGAATAACTGGGCCAAGGGTGATTGTATCATGCTGATATCATCGCCCCACACAATTAACTTTAGGGCTAATCCACCACTTTCTGGTTACCCTGATGAGAGGATGAACCACTAATCAGTTTGGGTGTAGTGGATGATGTCATCCTTAGCCCAATAGCCCATGGCTGTTGGGAAGACGACCACCATCTGAGTTTCATCAGAAATAGCGTGGCTAACATAAACAGGACAGTCCAATGGCACTTCATACCTTCTTAAAGAAATGCCTCTATTCCAGCTAGCTGATGTATATGCTGGGGGTGGGGCGGGGATGCTCACTACCCCGATTTCTGCATTCTCATGCCCATCTTTTACTGAGCTATGGGACTGCCTGCTATGAAAGAGAAGAACTTTGGGGTTTTTTTTAAGGCTTAGTAAGGAATAATTATAATAATGAGTGGTGTGATGGCCTAGAGGAGAAGATACTCATTACCTACTTGGAAGGTTGAGGGTTCGATCCTAGGGAGCAGCAGATATTTCTTTTCCAGGGCACACAGAAAAAAACCCATCTGCTGTGAACTCTGCATAGACATCAGGAAGGGCATCCGGCCTATAAATGCTCAGGTGTTCAGCAGAGTCATTCTTTCCTTTCTTTTCTTCTTTTGGATGAAATTGACAAGTTCAGCCAAGTTTGCCCTTCTAGCAGTGGTGTCCATTGGAGTGCAAACATGTGCAACATGGCGGGCATGGTGTCACAATCCAAGCTATAACGTATTTATGACGGTGGCGGTGTGTCCCAAGGTCATGTGATCACCTTCAGCAAACTTTTGACAAGCAAAGTCAATGGGGAAGCCAGATTCACTTAACAACCATGTTGCTTACTTAACAGCTGCAGTGATTCACTTAACAACTATGGCAAGAATGGTCGCTAAATGGGGCAAAACTCACTTAACAACTGTCTCACTTAGCAACTGAAATTTTGGGCTTAGCTGTGGTCGTAAATCGAGGACTACCCGTAGCGATTTGGATAACACTCTGCTTCAGAGGTGGTATTCAGCAGGTTCTGACCAGTTCTGGAGAACCGGTAGCGGAAATTTTGAGTAGTTTGTAGAAAAGGGTAAATACCACCTCTGACTGGCCCCGCCCTCATCTATTCTCTGCCTCCCGAGTCCCAGCTGATCGGGAGGAAATGGGGATTTTGCAGTAACCTTCCCCTGGAGTGGGGAGGGAATGGAGATTTTACAGTATCCTTCCCCTGCCACGCCCACCAAGCCAAACCAAGCCCACCAAGCCATGCCCACACAACCGGTAGTAAAAAATTTGAATCCCACCACTGCTCTGCTTCCAACCATCCCTGGATGAAGAGTCTGTCGGCACCTTCCCCCTTTTCTCTGCCCCTCCTTTCCATTTAGCTAAAGGGGAGCAAGCAGATTGTTCCTTTCTGTAAGATGGGGAATTTGCCAAGTCACTGATTGATGCAGCCTGGGATCTAACCTGGGTTTTCTTTTTCACTTGTGAAGAAGTCTCTGGCTAAAGAATTAGACGAAGCCTCTTTTCTCTTCTTGACGTAGCTATGGATTTTCCATCCTCATGTAGCTGTGGATTTGTAACCACTTTTCTCATTCCTGTTGCCTCTGTGATGCAGGAAGAAGTTGATCAAGTGTCAGCACATATTTTGAAGAGCTTGACGTCTCTCACTGAATATACTGTAGCCGTTTTCTCCCTCTATAGCGAGGGTCAGTCTGAGCCACTCACGGGCAGCTTTAGCACAAGTAAGTCTCGCTGCATGTCTATGGAGATTCTCTACCATCCAGGTCATGGTTGTCCCAAAGGTGCTTTTCCAAAAGGGAACTTTCTGGACTTTCTGGGTTTTTTTTCCCCCTTGAAAACATTTTGCTTCTCATTGAAGAAGTTTCTTCTGTTCTGACTGAATGGTGTGGAATAGAAGGAGTTGTGTTCTTTGCAGTCATGTGGTCATTAGTGCTCTGAAGGTTGGTCATTAGAATAGAATAGAATAGAATAGAATAGAATAGAATAGAATAGAATAGAATAGAATTGGAAGGGACCTTGGAGGTCTTCTAGTCCAACCCCTTGCTTAGGCAAGAAACCCTGCACCACTTCAGACAAATGGTTATCCAACGTCTTCTTAAAAACCTCCAGTGTTGGAGCATTCACAACTTCTGGAGGCAAGTTGTTCCACTGATTAATTGTTCTAACTGTCAGGAAATTTAAATTTAGTTCTCAGCTGCTTCTCTCCTTGATTAGTTTCCACCCATTGCTTCTTGTCCTGCCCTCAGGGGCTTTAGAGAATTAGTTCACTGAGAATCATTGAGGCCACTTGGGGATTGATCTGTATCCTCAGGGTCACCTGAATCAGAGTGCAGATGGATATGGGACCTTTTTGGGACTGCTAAGTCTCGCTGCATTTTTGAAAGCAGTCTAGCTATAGTCCCAATATTCTTCTACTCTTTTGGAGGGAACAATTTGGTTTTATTCATATTTTCTTAAGAAAAGGAATTTATAGCTCTCGGTTTATACACTTGACAGCTTGGAAACCTTATGTTATTGAAAACAAATGCAGATGAAAACATGGTCAAATATCGTAGTTAAAGTTGGTCTGCTACCAGAAGAAAGAGAAATTTGAATACAGGGCGCTCGAAGTCAAGTTACGTTGTGCCAGTTCCCTGAACAAATTGTGTAGATGCAGCCAAACACCTCACAAGTTCTTCACATAGATATTACTTTCTGATTGCAGAGGCTTTTTTTAAAAAAGAAAAATTGCAGACAAAATTTGATTACTTATTAGAACTTTTAAGCATCTCTCAAGGAAGAAATAAAAAAAAGCAATTAATAGGATTTTGTTGTTCTCTGCTGTATTTCTTTCTGGTTTCAGAAAAAAGGGAAAAATGCAAATAATTTATTCCAACAGAAGGGAATATATAGAATTCAGGCTTGCAATTGCAGAAGACAGCTGTAGCAAAATAGGTAATAAAATGGGACACAACTCACTTAACAGCTGTTTTGCTTAACAATGGAAATTTTGGAAATTGAGGATGATGTAAACGGTCCTTGTTTCATGAACATTGTTTTTACTGCAGTAATACATGCAGTTATAATTGGCCAATCAGTTAAACTTTTAAAAATTCTGTAGAAAGTTTACTGCAGCTGTTTATATTCCATAGAGTTGGAAGCAATTTCAGATATCATGTTTAGGGAACAAAGTTAACTTAACAAAATTTGATCCAGACACATTTAGAATCTTTCTGGTTTGTTTGTTTTTTCTTTATCTTGCAGAGAAAGTTCCATCACCTGAATTTTTGGAAATTATTGAAGTATCTACTGAAACTTTAACAGTAAGCTGGAAGCCACCATCCTCTGATGTGGCTCTTTACCGTCTAGCATGGATCCCATTGGCTGGCGAAGAAGCTGATGAGGTAATGGTGTTCTTGGCCCTCACATGCTCTTTGTTATAGCAAGCTGAATTATATCAGTAACAGTAACAGAGTTGGAAGGGACCTTTGGAGGTCATCTAGCCCAACCCCCTGCTCACGCAGACCACCTGTTCTAGGGATTTGAACCGCCGAACTGCTGACCTTTTTGATCGACAAGCTCAGTGTCTTAGCTACTGAGCCACCTAGTCAGGCTTCCTTGCTGGTGATAGACTGTGTTTTGTGCATTTTGAGGAGCAGAGTCTCCGTTGTTGGGATGACGAAATAGATGAGTACATTTGTGAAAAGCGTGCAAGCAATTGATTGCCCATTTATTTATTTGTTTGTATCCTGTTTTTATTAGTTTTACAAATAACTCAAGGCGGCGAATATTCTGTATCCAACACATATACCTCCTCCTATTTTCCCCATAACAATAGCCCTATGAGGTGAATTGGGCTGAGAGAGCGCGACAAGCCCCAAGTTATGTAGCTGATTTTCATGCCTAAAGTGGGACTAGAACTAATGTTCTCTTGACGATTGGCCCAAAGTCATCCAGCTGGCTTTCATGCCTGAGGTGGGACTAGAACTCATGGTCTCCTGGTGATTGGCCCAAAGTCATCCAGCTGGCTTTCATGCCTGAGGTGGGACTAGAACTCATGGTCTCCTGGTGATTGGCCCAAAGTCATCCAGCTGGCTTTCATGCCTAAAGAGGAACTAGAATTCACAGTCTCCCATTTTGTAGTGTGTGGTCTCAAGAACTGGATCAAACTGGCTCTCTTTTGCTCTATTCTATCTAAAAACTCATCTGCTCAGATTCTTATGAAACCAAAGCAATGCCAAGAGAATTTTTTTTTCGGGAAAATGACTCAAGGAATATTTGCACAAGTATATGCACCTTTTTCCAAGGTATGGTTGGCCCCCCACCCTGTTGCTTTTCCAAAAGGCCTTTAAAACATGCCTTTTCAGTGGTCCTGCGGACTATGAATGGAACTGGAGCTGATCGAGTGAGTGATTTTATTGTGCTGTTGCTGCTCTGGGGTTATGGATTGGTTTTTTTTTTTTAAAAAATGGATTTTTATTATATGGCAAAAATTTTTTTAAAAAATTCTGGAATCACCTATGTGTGAATTGGGCAGCTGTATAAATGTGTTTAATAAATAAATTAATAAATAAGCACAAATTTAGGGAGTTGACAACCAAAGGAACTAAATGAAGAATGAGCATGTTTAATAGGTATTAAATGCAAATCAATTAGTTCATCAAGAGATGTGAAGAACATTTATCAATGTGTCTGGAATGTGGAAAATGAGTTAGGAATAGAATAGAATAGAATAGACTAGAACAGACTAGAACAGAACAGAACAGAACAGAACAGACTAGACACAGAATAGAATAGAATAGAATAGAATAGAATTCTTTATTGGCCAAGTGTGATTGGACACACAAGGAATCTGTCTTTGGTGCATATGCTCTCAGTGTACATAAAGAAAAAATAAAATATATTCGTCAAGAATCATAAGATACAACATTTAGTGATAGTCATAGGATACTAATAAGCAATCAAATCATACTAGGAAACAATAAAAACAATATAAGTTGTAAGAATACAAGCAACATGGATATAGCCATAAGTGAGAAGAGATAGGTACTAGTAAGTATGAGAAGAAGAATAGTAATACAGTCTTAGTAAATTATTTGACAGTGTTGTGGGAATTATTTGTTTAGCAGAGTGATGGCATTTGGGAAAAAACTGTCCTTGTGTCTTGTTGTTCTGGTGTGCAGAGCCCTATAGCCAGTGGTGGGATTCAGCCAGTTTGCACCACTTCGGGAGAACCGGTTGTTAACTTTCTGAGCAGTTTGGAAAACTGTTGTTGGAAGAAATCATTAGGGCAGAGAACCAGTTGTTAAATTACTTGAATCCTACCACTACCTATAGTGTCTTTTTGAGGGTAGAAGTTGAAACAGTTTATGTCCAGGATGTGAGGGGTCTGTAGATATTTTCACAGCCCTCTTTTTGACTCATGCAGTATACAGGTCCTCAACGGAAGGCAGGTTGGTAGGACTTGTTTTTTCTGCAGTTCTAACTATCCCTGGGCAGGTTCCAAAAGGAGTATAATTCACCTCTCTGTCTTCTAAATCTCCTGTTCTATCTGTTTCAGATCATCTTAAGTGGAGATGTGGACACCTATGAGATTGAAGGCTTGCTACCCGATATGGAATATGAGGTGTCCTTGGTGGCCCTCTTTGATGATGAAAGTGAAAGTGATGTGGTTGCTGTACTTGGGAGCACACGTAAGATGGGAAATACTATGGTTATCCTTCCTATATATTTCTCAGTATATTCTTGACTTTAAAAAGCCAACATTCAGAAGTATCTGGTGCCTCTGTCTTCTTACCTGAAGTCCTGATGTACAGAATAATGTCTTATGCTCATTTGGCTACTGAAATGTAGTCTACTGCATCTGAAGCAGGGGTGGGTTGCTACCAGTTCGCCCTGGTTTGTGCAAACTGGTAGTGGCGGTGGCGGGAGGCTCCGCCCACCCTCCCAGACATAATCAAAAACGCTCTGCGCATGCGCAGAACTTTCTGCACATGCACAGAAGCGCCAAGCACTCGCGAAGCAAGCAAGTGCGCCCACGTGCTCCCAATAGCGAACCGGTAGTGCCAGGATTTGAATCCCACTACTGATCTGAAGGGATGTTTCATGGCTGATTGGGGGATTCTGGATTGAGAGCGCACCAAGGACCCCTCATGTCAATCCTGAGCTGCAAATATTCTCCTTTATTAGTGAAATTTGATAACCTTGGAAACAACTCAACCCTCCCCTCCTAGTATAGCTCCACCCAAAGTTCTTTCTTTTAAAACTCTGCCAGTTAATCCAGATGTTGCTTTAATTTCGGTTCAACCTGACTTTATCTTCTCCAGTTGCAATGTTCTGCATCAGAGTACCATACAGAAAAACCTAAACAAGAAATATATAGTAGCTGTTGTAAGTAAGAAATTTTGTCTGAAAACATGCTTGTCTGTTGCTTTTTTCCCCCAGTTGAAATACTGACTACTGAAGTAACTACCATTACTACAGAAATTACTACTACTCCTGAGCCTACAACAGCAGGTACAAAATATACTTTTAAAATATATTTTTAAAAATGAACACATATGTAAGTCAAAAGGTGATTAGTTGACATTACTCAAAGCAAGGGGTTACGATGACTCAGTTGTTAAAGATGCAGGATTCGTCAGCTGGAAAGCTGCCAGTCTTGGTTTAAGACCAAGCGCCATGCAATGGGGTGAGCTCCTGTTCCTTGCCCAGCTCCTGCCCACCTAACAGTTTGAAAGCATGCAAATGCGAGTAAATAAATAGATACCACTTAAGAGCTGTTGTGGTGCAATGATTAGAATGCAGTACTGCAAGCTACTTCTGCTGACTGCCGACTCCCTGAAGTTTAGCAGTTCAAATCTCACCAGGCTCAAGATTGACTCAACCTTCCATCTTTCCAAGGTCGGTAAAATGAGGACCCAGATTGTTGGGGGCAATATGCTGACTCTGTAAAATCACTTAGAGAGGGCTGTAAAGCACTGTGAAGCAGTATATAAGTCTAAGTGCTATTGCTATTGCTACCATTTCGGTGGGAAAGTAACAGTGTTCTGTGTGCCTTGACATATAGTCATGCTGGCCACATGACCATGGAACAGTCTTTGGACAATGCTGGCTCCCTTGGCTAAGAAACAGGCATGAGCACCACCAGGGGTGGGTTCTAAATTTTTTTACTACTGGTTCTATGGGCGTGGTTGATTATGTGGGCGTGGTTTGATGGTCATGTGATAATTCTTTAGGATTTAGCAGAGATACTGGTCTACCAAGCTTTTAACTGCTTGCAGAGCTGTACCGGTCTACCCATTTGTTTTTGGAGGCACCGGTCTACTCATTTGTTTTTGGAGGCACCGGTCTACCCATTTGTTTTTGGAGGCACCGGTCTACCCATTTGTTTTTGGAGGCACCGGTCTACCCATTTGTTTTTGGAGGCACCGGTCTACCCATTTGTTTTTAGAGTGCACTGGTCTACACCATACTGCCTTTTAACACTGATCAGCTATAGAGCAGCCCTTTGAAGCCCCGCAGCAAAAGTTTAAACATTTTTTTTCCTTCTAGCCGATCAGCTGGGACTCGGGAGGCAGTGAATAGATTGGGGGTGGGGCCAAATAAAAGGTAAGAATAACGCGGGGACGGGCGGGATGGCCCAGCTCCTGAACAAACAGAACCGGTTTGGTGACGTCATATCGGCCCGAACCGGGAGGAACCCACCACTGAGTACCACCCTCTACAGTTGGACACAACTGGACAGGGAAAACCTTTACTTTTACTCTGAGCAAAGATGCAACATTTTTGTATTCTTAGAATGATTGTGTTTTATAATTTGCTGTAAAATAGTTAACTGAGTGGGGAAGAAATGATATCCAGACTGGATGCTTCAAAAGATTTAAAGCTGTTTGTCGTTCTTGTAGTCTTTCGGACAGGAATAAAAAATCTCATGGTCGAAGATGAAACTACCTCAAGTTTGAAAGTCAAGTGGGACATTACGGACCTCAGCGTTTCCCAGTTCAGGGTGACATATATGAAGGCTGACGGTGGTCATGGGGAGGAAACGGTAAGGATGATGGCCTGACAGATCATTGGTTTGAAAGCTCAGCTTGGACTTTTAAAGAATTATTCGTAACTTGTAATCAACAGGAACATTCTCCACTTGATAAGTATCCATTACCTACGTTAAGCCTCAGTTTGCTAGTATCGTTTACTTATCTATATAAAAAGATATATGCCACCAATATCCAATGCATTTTGCAATTCCATAAGCCAAAAACTAACTAGGCTCCTGGGCTTGCAAGTTAAAATCAATAGGAATATATAGTTAGTCCTCAATTTACAACCATAATTGGGATCAGAGTTTTCGTTGCTAAGTTAGGTGGTTAAGTGAACCACACCTGATTTGCCATGGTGATTGAGCAAATTACTGCAGTTGGTAAGTGAATTTAGCAGTCACTAACTGAATCTGGCATCCCCCATTGACTTTGCTTGTAGGAAAGTATTGCTTGTACTCATCTCAAATGATCTAAATGCCAGAGCTCACTGTAACAGCATTGCTAAAAAGGCATTAAAAGTTGTTAACCTAATCTTGCATAGCTTCTTTTCCAGTAATATTGAACTGCAAACTAGGGCATACAAAACTTTTATCAGACCAATTCTTGAATACAGCTCATCTGTCTGGAACCTGCATTGCATATCAGACATTAATACTGTCAGATGTAAATGCCTTATTCCCTAATCTGTAAATAATGTATATATGGGATATCAGGGGTTAACTTATTTATTTATTTATTTATTTATTTGTTTAAATTTCTATACCGCCCTTCTCCAATGTAGGACTCAGGGCGGTGAACAGCCAAAGTAAAAACAAGACATACATACAAACATACAAAATCTAAAAAACTGTTTAAAATAATTAAATAATTTTGGCCGTAATTAAAACATTCCAATTTAAAATCCATTTAAAATTTGACTCAAGCCAGCCCAGCTAGTTGGAATAAATGGGTTTTCAGGGCCCGACGAAAAATCCGGAGGTCTGTTATTGTACGTAGCTCTGGGGGGAGGTTGTTCCAGAGGGCGGGCGCCGCCACAGAGAAGGCTCTCCCCCTGGGGGTCGCCAGCCGACATTGTCTGGCGGACGGCACCCTGAGGAGGCCCACTCTGTGGGAGCGTACTGGCCGGTGGGAGGCTATTGGTGGCAGAAGGCGGTCTCGTAAGTACCCCGGCCCTAAGCCATGGAGCGCTTTAAAGGTGGTCACCAACACCTTGAAGCGCACCCGGAAGACCACCGGGAGCCAGTGCAGCTCGCGCAGGAGAGGTGTCACGTGGGAGCGCCTCGTCGCCCCCAAAATCCCCCGCGCGGCCGCATTCTGGACCAGCTGGAGCCTCCGGGTGCACCCCAGGGGGAGCCCCATGTAGAGAGCATTGCAGTAGTCCAGGCGGGAAGTGACGAGTGCCTGAGTGACTGTGCGTAGGGAGTCCCGATCTAGAAAGGGGCGCAACTGGCGTATCAGGCGAACCTGATAAAAAGCCCCCCTGGCCACGGCCGCCAAATGATCTTCTAACGACAGCCGTGCGTCCAGGAGGACGCCCAAGTTACGAGCCCTCTCCGTGGGGGCGAGTGATTCGCCTCCAATAGCCAGCGATGGCGTCAGCTGGCTATATCGGGACGCCGGAAGCCACAGCCACTCGGTCTTGGAGGGGTTGAGTTGGAGCCTGTTTCTCCCCATCCAGGCCCGCACGGCCTCCAGGCACTGGGACATCACTTTAAGGGCATCATTGGGGTGGCCTGGGGTGGAGATGTACAGCTGGGTGTCATCAGCGTACTGATGGAACTCCACCCCGAAGCCACGGATGATCTCACCCAGCGGCTTTACATAAATGTTGAACAGAAGGGGCGAGAGGACCGACCCTTGTGGCACCCCACAAGCAAGGTGCCTCGGGGTCGACCGCTGCCCCCCTGTCAACACAGATTGCGACCGGTCAGAGAGGTAGGAGGAGAACCACCGCAAAACGGTGCCTCCCACCCCCAACCCCGCCAACCGGTGCAACATGATACCATGGTCGATGGTATCAAAAGCCGCTGAGAGGTCTAACAGGACCAGGATAGAGGAGCAACCCCTATCCCGGGCCCTCCAGAGATCATCCACCAATGCGACCAATGCCGTTTCCGTGCTGTGCCCAGGCCGGAAGCCGGACTGGAGCGGGTCTAGATAGACAGCTTCATCCAGGTACCGGGGAAGCTGTTGCGCCACCACACTCTCAACAACCTTCGCAATGAAGCGAAGGTTGGAGACTGGACGATAGTTAGCCAAAACAGCCGGATCCAGAGAAGGCTTCTTGAGGAGGGGCCTCACCACCGCTTCTTTCAAAGCGGCCGGCAGGACCCCCTCACTCAAAGAAGCGTTAACAATCTTCTGGAGCCAGCCTCGTGTCACCTCCCGGGAAGCCAGTACCAACCAGGAGGGACACGGGTCCAATAAACATGTGGTCGCGTTCAGCCGTCCCAGGACCCTGTCCATGTCCTCGGGAGCCACAGGATCAAACTCCCCCCAGATAACACTCTCACGACCTGCCTCAGTCATCCCGTCTGGACATACCCAGTCAGAGGCCAGCCCTTCCCGAATCTGAGCGATTTTGTCATACAGATACTGCACAAAATCCTCAGCTCGACCCTGCAAGGGGTCATCCCGCACTTCCAGATGGAGGAGGGAGCGGGTCACCCTAAACAGGGCGGCCGGGCGATTATCTGATGACGCGATAAGAGCGGCAAAATAGCTAGTTTTCGCCGCTTTTATCGCCACTAGGTAGGTCTTAATATGAGACCTCACCAGTGTTCGGTCAGGTTCGGAGCGGCTGGTCCTCCAACTACTCTCCAGGCGTCTTTTCCGGCGCTTCATCTCCCTAAGCTCCTCGGAGAACCAAGGAGCTAGGTGAGTTCGGTGCCGGGTCAGAGGCCGCAAAGGCACGACTCGGTCCAAGGCCCCGGCAGCCGCACTATCCCAGGCGGCCACCAGGTCTTCAGCCGAGTCATGAGCCAGAATCTCAGGAAATGGCCCAAGCTCCATCTGGAACCTATCAGGGTCCATCAGGCGCCTGGGGCGGAACCACCTGGTCGGTCCCGCCTCCCTGCGGCAGGGTGCAGCGGTTAGAAAGTCCAGTCGAAGGAGCGAGTGGTCAGACCATGACAAGGGTTCGATGGCTATATCCCCTATATCAAGGCCACTCAACCACTGACCAGAGACAAAAACTAGGTCCAGAGTGTGTCCTCCTGTGTGAGTGGGGTCATGAATTAACTGAGTAAGGTCCATGGCCGTCATGGAAGCCATGAACTCTCGAGCCACCTCAGACGTTTCACCGATAGATGGCAGGTTGAAATCCCCCATGATGGCAATTCTGGGGGTGCCCACCGCCACCTCGGCTATAACGTTAAGGAGCTCGGGCAGGGCCGTTGCCACGTGGCAGGGAGCCAGGTACGTGACCAACAGGCCCATCTGTACTCCACGACCCCACTTCACAAAGAGGGACTCACATCCGGCTATCTGTGGAACAGTGGTCTCCCTTGGATCCAGACCTTCCTTTATAATAACCGCCCAAAGAATAACTTATTCTTTGTTTCCTAATGTATTCATAATTCACCACTCCCATCCTTGACTCCGCCCTTTGTATATATAAGGAGCCACCCTCACCATTTCCCTTGCTTCTATCTGTAAATATTCAGTGAATATAGAATGCCTGTTAAGATTAAAGAGAGATATATTTAAACCTCTAATCTTTATTATCATTATTGAGTCTGATCCTAAAAATATTGCAACAAACTGGTAGCAGAGGATGGTTAATTGACTCAATAAATAATTAAAAATGTCTAAGAAAGATAGGCCCAACACCAGGGCCTACAGCAAAGAAATAGAAACTGAACAAGAAATAATCAACGAATCCACAAACGCGATTTCGAGAGAATCCGAAGAATATACCACAGAAGAAGAAGAACTAATAAATGAAAATAATGACCAGGAGGAAATCGAAATAGAAAATAACGAACTCAGGTCAGAAATATTAAAGATATTAAAAAGCCAGAAGAATGATGAAAGTCTCATCGCGAATCTCCAAGAAATGCTGAAAAACAGCGGAGCAGCGAGAGAGAAAAACATCGTCAAAGAGAAACCCAAAGACCAAAAAACTGTGAGTGATATGACTACAGAGAAAGTCGTTATGAAAAAGAAAAGATGTGATGCCGCGCGAAATTTTGAATGGCAGCCATCTTGGTTTCAACAAGCCTCCAAAGGGAGCGAAGCAGAGCCAATCAAAATGCTCAGTTCAAAATTTCTGGCGCGAAAAACGTTATCTGACAACGAAAGTGAAAAGGAAGATTCGAAATCTCCAGAAGAACCCGAATCAGATAGCGAAGACGATTTTACCAAATCCCAAATAAAATCAGCAATGAAGACGCTTTTTGCTGCATTTGGGCCAAAATTAAAAATCTCCAAAGCGCCAACGAAGAAGCAAAAGAACAAGCCGATACCTCAAGACCTACACGCTCCCATCCTGACTTCGAGAGCGACGACGCCCGAGCCCAGAGAGCCATGCCGATTCCGCCCCACGCCGCAGACCGGATCAAATATCAACGCACACAGAAGAAAGAGAAGAACAGCCGCCGCCATCAGAACTCCTAAAACCGAGCCAGAGACCGACTCGTCTGAAGAGGAGCAGAGCGAACGAGCTGAAATGGAAAGAACCTTCCACGACGATGCCAAAGAAGAAATGAGCAACGCGCATGTGCGAAACCACGTAAACGGTCCGGAAAGACTTGAACTGGCCAGAGAACCGCGCAGACTCGTTGCGAGCATCCCTATGCCGTTTTGCAATTTCCTGCACTTGCGAGATCACGGACTACCTCAGGTTGTAAGTAATGGACAAAATAATGTGGGAAACTTACCCAGTGACTTCCCAAAACTTAGAGTTGATGGCATTAATTTGCAAGAGTGGTATCAACAGCTCCAGGTTGTCTTTATGAAAGAAAATTTACTATTCTTTATCACTAGTCCTCCAAGAAGACCTTGGACT